ACCCGGGCCCGCGCCGCCCGCCGAGCTGCCCCGCGACGTGCGGCTCTTCCTGCGGCAGCACCCGCTGCTCGGCCTCGAGGGCACGGGCAAGGTGCGGCCTGGCGGGGGGGAGCTGCGGCCGCCCCCGCGCGGCTCCCGGGCCGGGCTGCCTCCGCTCGCGGCCCGGGCTCCCCAGGGCAGCTGCGGGGAGCCCTGGGAAGGGCCCCTGGGCTCGGGGAGCATCCCCAGGAACTCCCTGTCCCGGGGGTTCTGTCCCTCTGCGGCACTCGGGGCTTGGGGGGAGCTGCAACAGGCAGACGCAACAGGCAGACGCAACAGGCAGACACAGCAGGCTGCGGGGGAAGTGGAGTGCTTACCCCATCCCTGGTAACACACAAGGACCGTGCGGATGCGGCACTCAGGGACACGGTTGGGCAGGATGGTGCTGAGGGGCCTGCGGTTGCACTCGAGGATCTCAAAGGTCTTCTCCAGCCCTAACAAGCCCGTGTCTGGACCTTTTCCCCCTGCAGGTGCGGTGCCGGCTGACGGGCCACGAGATGCCCTGCAGGCTGGCCGAGCTGCAGGCCTACACCAAGGGCAGGAGGTACCAGCGGCTCTCCAGGGCGGCCGGCGGCTTTGACTACGGCAGCTTCGAGCCCCACGTCGTGCCCAGCACCAAGAACCCGTGCGTAGCCTCCCTGGCGCGGGGCCCCGCGCGTCTATGGGCTTGGTGGGCTGGGAAAGTCCTTATAAAGCATTCGTTAATTGTGGCCATAGTGCTTAAAAGTGAAAGATTATGAAATAACGGTGTGATTGAACTCTGCTCCTTCTCTTCCCGCATTTCCAAGGCACCAGCTGTTTTGCAAGCTCACTCTGAGGCACATCAACAAGTTCCCGGAGCACGTGCTGCGTCACGTCCAAGGGAAGCGCTATCAGAAGGCCCTCAAAAGATGTAAGCTGTTTTTCTGAAGATACAGCCATCCAACCTTTCTTTTTCCCCTAAGTTTTTGTGATTCCAGTTACTCCATGTGCAGTGAGCGGGTAAGTCTTCTGCTGACGGACGGTGTTGTGCAGCGCTGTTGCTGTGTGTGCTTCTCAACTGGGAAGGAACATCCCAGGTGCAGGGAGCAATGGACCTCTTGGGCAAATGCCTTGGAGTATTTTTACTTGAAATGAGTGGCTCTAAAGCTTCCCCAGAGAGGGTGGCTCTTGCATCCAGCAGTTTCTCTATTAAAATCTGCTCTTTTATGGTCCTATAATGTCAGTCTCGATTATATAGATGTGCATTAGAGCTTAACATGCTTCCAAGTCGTATGTAATACAGAATGTAGCTGGAAATGAAGAATGCAGCGCTTGGGTATCCTTGCTCATTGCTGGTTGCATCTCCTGTGATTAGATGAGGAGTGCCAGAAGGAGGGAGTCGAGTACGTCCCTGCCTGCTTGAGACAGAGGCGGCAGCAGAGGCGACGTCCCGACGACCAGGCGAACGGGAGCGGGCGCCCTTACAGAAAGGAGGAATTTTGGGAGCCCAAGTCCAGTGACGAGGATGGAGAGGAGACAGACGACAGCATGAGCGACCTGTACCCACGTGAGTAAGAATGCTGCTGTAGTCTGTATCTTAACGGGGTCATTAGGGTGTTTTTTCTTATGGCCTCTTTATATTGCTGCCTTCTGGGAAGCTTTTGGGGAAAAGCTTGGCACGACCAAACATAAAATAGCAGTTATTGCTGAATGACTCGGATCACAAAATGCAAAGGGAAGGTTGCAAAATCCTATGGGATTTGTTTCCTTAAGCACTTCCACTTTGTTGATTTCCCCCAACATGAAGGTTAGGTGGAAACAGCAGCCTACTGCAGAGGCAGCTGCTCCTCAGCAGCTCCCTTCTTGTTTCAGCTGAACTCTTCCCAGAAAAACGCCCAGCAGCTCCCCAAAGCACCAATGGCTTCGCATCAGACAGTGAGGAAGACGTGGCCGGGAAGAACGGTGCTGCAGACGGAGAGGGCAGCGGGAGAAGGAACGTTAGCAGAGCAGCTGGCAACAAGAGGGGCAAGGTAGGAGTTTCCCTGCCACCCGTGACAGCAGCAGAGCCTGGAACAGCCTTCCTGCCCCGTGGCCTTTGTGTCCTCCACTGCCGTGAGAGAAGCAGCAGCAGGAGGTGCAAAGATGTTTGGGAGACTTTGTCCATGCGGCAGCCGCTAACTTGCATCCTGAGGAGTGGGTTACTGCCAGTAAAGACCCCGTCTGCTCTAACTAAGGATGTTATTGCCCTTATATGTATTTGTATCGAAGTTGTTTGACTCCTGCTGCACACTGTTTTAAGAGGGAGATCGAGTGCATCATGTGGGTCCTGTGTTCCCCCTGCAGGCTGGTTAAACCTTGTGAATGCAAGTTACAGGATGCAGTTTAGTCCTTGTAGCTCTTTTTTCTTCCCCTCTTTTGAGGGGCCGTTAATGCTTTGCCTTTGGATGTGCTTGCAGGAGGATACATCCTTATCCTCTGCAGTTTGGGAAGCAGTTGGATTAGATGCTACGTCCATAAACTACACATAAGCCTTTAAATGGCAGCCCTGCGGAGGGGCTGCGGTTCTCCCTGTTTCTGACTGCATCAAACTGACTGGTTTAGAATCATTTCCAGGGGGAGGCTGTTAGTGTCTGTGCCTAATGAAACCACCATGGGCCTGTTGGAGAAGGGGGGGCTACTTCACATCCCTGCCCCAGGGACATGTCCTCACTGGCCCCATGTCCTCTGCAACTGAGACAGCTTAATCCTGTCTCACCTGCCACAGGAGATGGCTTAAAGAAGTTTAGACTGAGCTCAGGCAGGGCTGCAGTTGATTTTTTTTTTTTTTCCAGAAAATAAAACTGTTTTTCTCTCTCCACAGAAACAGCCACATGCCTTAACGAAGAAATTTAAGAGGCATCATGGAAAACCCCCCAAATTCAAGAAAGCCACCACTGGCAAATAAATTTTGTGGAAAAAAAAAAAAAAAGAAAAACCCTCTATGGCCTGAAGCCTGGTGTTTAACAGTTGTAGAGGCTGCACAAGCTTGTCTACAGTGCTTGCTTCCCAAAGGCATCCCCCTTTTTCAGTGAGTGGAAGAGAAAGCTCATGGGATCCTGGACCAGCTTCTCCAGGTAACAAAGCTATGCGGTGTCACCAGCTCACACACTCCAAGTGGATACAAAGATGCCATTATTTTATTTTGATTGTTTCCAAAAATCAAAACATTTTCAAACACAACTAAGGTACAAAATACAGCATAAAATGAGAATTTACTTATTTTTTTCCACGTAGAAAGCAAAAATATATTCAGAATGAATTCCAGAACACTTTGCAGAGCCAATCAATAGCCAAGATCCTGTTTGTGAGAGCTTCACAGCCACTAGGAGAGGTCAGGGTATTTGGGGGGAGATAAATGAATACAGCAGTGTGTATAAGACTGCACTTTTCCCTATCAGGACTCACAGTTAGTTAAGCTGGGATATTGTGCTGCCTGGAAGTGTCTTAAAATGCCCTCCACCTGACTGGGCCCCTATTGTACTGTAAGACTTCTACTCGAAGGGACAATATCACTCCCTTGTCTGGTACCTCAACTGATTTGTCTTTTACTGGACTTCATTTTCACAAGGAGGAATCTAGTCAGTGATTCAGACTAGTCAGTCATCCACCTTCTTAGACATAATGCAAAGAAAGAAGGAAAAAAGGAATAGTTAACCAAGTGCTTCTTACAAAACTTGTGTCTGCTATTCAGTTTATAAATAGTATGAACATCAACAGATATGTGAGAAGGGCTGCTTTGATATAGTCAAAAATAGCTATTTATAGAAACTGCAGGGAAATGAAGCAAAAAGATCCCGGGTTGCATATCAGGAGTTGACAGGACCAGTTTGTTTTGCTGTGAAGAGACAGGCACAATGGGAACACTCGAGGTGAAAAATTCTCTCCTGCAAAACCTATTTTAGAGGAAGAAGCCTTCCCTGTGACCTATGCTGGTTTCCTCTCCAGTCTACTCCCCCCAAACCAGTAAGCTTTCTTCAGCAGCAGCACGTAGGGGTTTTTTTTCCCCTTAAAATGATGAAATCACTGGTTTAACAACCGGAAATGCCCTCTCTCTGCCATCCCTTCCGAGCGGAGTTTTCTAACTGCTAAGCTGAACCGTTAGTGGCCCTACCAGACAGCCTGGCACTAGTCCCTGCAGGAGGCATTCGGCTGAATGACTCCTTGACAGGCAGCTGAGCAGCTTTCTTGAAGGAGACAACAGTGCAATGTTAGCAAGCTAACCTCTCCTCTCTGGAACCTGAAATGCTTTTGTGATCTACGCTAACAGGCTCACCCAAGTTTACTAGCAGAGGATAAGAAAAACAATTTCTCTTCCTAGCAGCACTAACAGAGCATGTTCATGGCACAGAGGTGGTGGCACTGAGAGGTGGAATCAGGTTTTTTATCTCTCCTCACCATTAAGCCAGAGTTCCTCCCTCTGAAGGTGCAGGTTACCCACTCCTGACGGCGTGTTCACTGCACAGCTTTTGTACTTGTGTTCTTCAGCAAGAACCGTTACCTTTCTGCCACCTTCTTCTCTCCACACCTCACTGTGGTCCAAGATGCTGCAGAGAAGGGGCTTGGGCTCAGCTCAGGAGCACTCCAGCTCTTCAGTCACCTGAAGCTTTTGCAGCAGAGAAGCTAACGGAAGGCTGGGAAGCAGAGAGCGCTGCACATTCGGAGACTGACTGCGCTCAACTTGCATCTACTGAGGGCAAGAGTTAAAAACAAAACAGGGCAGGGGGAGTTTGCGTAGCTCTTAAAGACACTGTCACCAGTAACAACCTGTAGTTCAGATCCTGATCTGGGGCATACACAAAAGGGGGCTGGTCGATAGCAGAAAGGACCTTTTATTGTGGGAGCTGGAGCACAACTTGGCTCCCACAGTGGAAATTTAGGAGGAAAAAATCGTTGTGGACAGAGCAGTGAATAAAGAGTTATTTGGCACAGAATTTTATTAGAATCTAATATTCAGTCTCTTCAGAAGTCGCTTCCCCCTCCCTTCTTGAAATCTGATGAGCAATACAGAATTTCCCCTTGCTCCCCTCAAGAACAGTACTGTGAACCTTAGCATTAGAAAACCTCTCTTTCTCACCTAAAGAAGGGTACAGCTACTTCCAGGGTCTCCTTTCTGCCTTCTACATGGCAGCAATAAAAGTCTCCTTTCTCAGAGGCCTATAATACCATTTTATCAAAAAAAATACATAGCTACATAACAGCATGTTCTCTTGATGCTGTTTTCCACTCAGAGAAGCGATGCTACAACCAGCAGCTGAGCTCCTTATACACAACACAGTTCTGATGAGGGTGAGAGAGGGGCCTACTTGAGTTACAGCTAAAACCCAACAGCACTGAGCAAAACTGCTGTATCTGCTCTCAGTACTTCCAATTAAAACACTGCTGACAGAAACAGCAACTGCAGTTCACTGATGCATCAGTGAAGTGCAGGCTCCTTGGGTTAGTTCCAATTCTAGGAAGTTAGAACAATAAACCTAGGCAACATTCCTTGAAGTGGGACTTTATCTATCAGATTACTGGTGCCACTGTAAATCAAATTCTTGAAACATCTGTGCCTTTAATAAGAAGGGGGCATGTAGTGTAAAATGCTGGCAGTTTTTGTTGAATCCATAGAGAATCAGTTCTGGACTTAATATGTTATGTCCCAAGAAGTGTTGCTGCTCCTGTTACCACTCTTTCTTCTTCTCATCCATGGAGACTCCACCAGGACCCAGTGCAACCACGAGGAGGAGCCCTCCAATTACAGACATGGTCTGGAAGAAATCGTATCTGAGGAAGTCATGCATGGGCTTGTACACTGGGATGGTCCAGAAGGCATTGAAGTAGATGTTGATGCCAAAGAGCCAGATGACGAGCGTCAAGGCAGCCAGCTTAGTCTTGAAGCCAATTGCCACTAAGATAATCAGGGCTGTGCCCACAATGTTCTGCAAAATCTGCAGGAAGAGAAAGAGACAGGGTTACAACATGGTTCGGAAATGGATACGCACATGGCAGAACATAGCACGAGCAAGTTCTGCAGAACAGTCTGCTGTGGCACAGATGATCTGATAATAGTTTTGTCCTAAATACTAATTTTACCAAAAAAGGGAAAAAAAATTAGACACAAGCGAGAAGCATTGAGGCCCTATAACTCCCCAGCTTCTTTACTGCTACTTTTACCCTTAGTTACTTACATAAAAGAAGTTCAGGTGGAAATGTAGCAGCGTCATGAACATGAGGACCAGCAGCACGCGGCCGCCCAGCTGCATGTACTGTCTGGGAGAGCTTTCCCGCATGGTGGGCACCCCAGCAAACATGCTCTTCCCTTCCGAGCGCGACTCGGCCAGAAGCAGCAGCAAGCCTCCCCCGAGGGCAAGGTTCCTGAGGAAAGAGCAATGGGAAGCAGAATTTTACTATGACAGTTTGTCTCAACCTTTAAGTTTAAAGATAAATTCTTCAAAAAGTTATGCATGTTTGAAGATTATTTTCTATCAGTGGTTGTCAGTGAGAGACAGGAGTTTTTACAAAGTTTAAAAGCAGACATACCTCACCAGAAACTTCAGGTCCCATAGAATGCTGTACGCAATAGTCTAGGCAAAGAACAGTAGATGTTAGAACACCCTAAAATGCACTGAAATTCTGAATGTACACTACACCATTTACAGCCCAATGCAGAAGCCCGTTAGAAGTATAAGATACTAAAGGAAACAATGATACATGAACAGAGCCTTGTGTATTGGTGAGGAGAGGGACTATTTTGTGCTTTGATCAAAAAGGTTTGGGTGAGGAAGGCTACTATTAGTCGGGACTCTTTCTGATGCAGACAGTCCTTTGCATACTGAAGGCCAAAGCAACTGCAGCTTCCACATTTGGGAGGTTTCTGACACGCAGGTAACAGCAAGTTACTTCTGATTATCTGGTCAAGGTTCAAAATTGAAGCAACATCAAACACTCACTGATGGCTCCTGCATTCAAGGACCCATTGGTCACATCAAGAATAGAAGCAGCAAAATAGCTCAGTGCCACTGGCATCAGGCTGGAGTGGAGGAGAACTCCAGGACTGTGGGTTATACTTTAGTGCATTGGTGGTATGGGCACTAGAGGGATGATTTGAAGGATGGGATATAGAAGTTGTTAAGATTTAAAGCCTCCTACCTGTAATGCTATAATTCCAAACAGTCCAAAGCAGGCATATTGCACAAAGTTCCTACTGAGTACCAGGATACAGCCACCTGAGGTGGGGAAAATTGAACATAATTACACTTACAGCTTCAGAGGAAAGGATGCCACGTGAAAGCAGACTTGTTCTGAACTTTACCGGACTCAAGATTTACTTCAGTTATGCCACTAAGAGCATCAGGTAGGAAATATTAATGGCATGAGACAAATCACTTTTAAAGATGTTCTAACAATTCTTGGTTTTCAGTGCTGCCAGAAGTAACCCCTTATTCCACAAAGGATAAGCATACGTTGAATGCAGCCTCCAGCAGACAGTATTATATAACAGTCTCTATTAAAGAATTAAGAAGGACAGAAAAAAAATCAACTATATATGTGTACATATACACTTAAAAATACAGGATGGCTGTTAGGATAAACATGTTATGTTCCTTCTCCTTGAGGAGTTACAGGAACAAGAGCTTCTTCTTTTCCCTTCGCTGACAGCATTTGCCACTCTGCTATCTCCACAGTGAGGACTGGTAACTAGATTAAATTAAGTGGGCTTTCTACAGGAAAAAATACAAGATAAAGCAGTGAAAAACATTAAATCAGGGACATAATATAAATGGAAAAGTTTTATTTTGCTCTCCTTTAATGATGCTGGAGGTTCACCCAGCTCACACACAAAAGCTCCATGGGGTTTAGTTTGTTTTGATTCCTGGGCTTTGCAGACTTAGTATCTCAGATGCAAGATCACTGCTGTCTTGATGCTGGTGTGTCTCCTCCTACTGGAAGAGGAAGCTTTGTCCATTCAGATTAACCTCCATTAAAATGGTAGGCTGAGAAAGTCTTTACATTGCTTTGTTTAAGAGAACAGTATTTCATGCAGAAAATTCAGGGTTTTATTAATAGATGTATGCAGAGAATTGAAAAGAGGCTGTCCTAATGGACTCCTGGCATCCCTGATGACTCAGAGGTACTGAGTCAAGGGGAACTTTGAGTCTATTTCCAGGAAAGACTGAAACAGGTCAATCGGGAGTCCTCTCTCCATTTGCTCCTTGCAGGAGCATCAGTTCTAAGCTGCCAGTGGCTATTGAGAAATCAGGGGTGTCCTGTGCTTAGGTGATTCACAGCGCCCACGCGCCCCACACTGCAGCACTCCAGCATCCACCGCAACAGCCTGAGAGCCACTTACTCAGCTGTCCAAAGAGATTTATGAACACGAAGATGGAGGCCAGGAAATAGCCACAGTTCCACGTGCTGTTGATGTAATCCCTCTGTTCGCCCCACTGGAACCACATGCGGATGCCGTCCTCCAGGAAGGTGCTGATGAGGCACAGGTGGGCCACGTGGGGTAGGTACTGCTTCGTCACCCTCAGGAACTACAGGTAGACAGCACAGTTAGCGGGGAGGGCAGGGGGTACCCAAAGCACAACAGGTCCATGCACCGCTCGGGCTCTGGGGCGACAGTCCTTGCAGGCGCAGGGTCACTGCTGTCCACAGACAGCCGTGCTTGGGGTTTGGATCTAGCGGAGCGCTCCTCTGCTCTGCACTCGGGACACTTGGGGGAAAGAGAAGGATGAAAAGAAAGAGGGGGAAATTTCTATGCTCTAAGTGAGGCTGTTTTGGGCAAGGTAAGTGGAATGAGACAGCACAATTCTGCGTGGCAGGAGCAGTGTTTTGATAGGACTCACACTAGAGGAGGGCTGACCTTGGGTTTAGTTTATCGATCTCATGGTTTCATGTTACAGCTCAACTGATCTACCAGGCTGCCAGGAGCTGAAAGGGCAACGCTACTCCCACTCACGTGCCCAGGCACTCAGCACCCTGCAACAGGCTGATTCAGTGAGCTAAGCCTGCAGAAGGCTAACTATAAAGATTAAAAACCATTAATAAGATTTCTGCTGAGCAGAGCTCTCTGCAACAGCTCTGACAGGCACCGGAGCTGAGCATGAGCAGGGCTGTGGGACCTGCTGCTAGATCAGTGTGACTCTTGAAGCAAAGTACAGCCTCTTCCTCTGCACAGAGTTTCTACAGCCATAAAAAGTAACATTCTATGCAGAAAGATAAAATAAGGGAAATCCAGCGTAGTAGTTGAAAAGAAGTCACATCATCATGCAGCAGAGTGGGACTGCAAGTTGTAGCTTGTCCCACAAGCCCCCTCATCCTGTAAACTCACTGTTTCTTTTGCCCTGCCACTATTGTAGGTGTAAAGAAACAAACAGAGCATCTGCTCTTGCACACCATGCAGCCCCACAGAGCAGGCGAGTCCAGACAAAGTTATTCACTATCTCAATTTGGCAATAACATACGTGCTTTGTGGCACAGTTAACTCCTTTTCAACCAGGTAAGTGCCATAGCTGGTTATTTAACAGAGACTTACGCTCAAAGCAGCAATGCAAATCCTGAAGGAAATTAGCACCCGGCTGCTCCCTTTCACTCACTGATTATGCTCAGCCAAATCACTAGGAGGAGACATTTGGAGTCAGTGTATACTGGAGGTATTTTTCATGAACAGCACTAAATGACAAATGCAAATTTAATCTAAAATTAGCTTTTAAGAGACTATCCAGCAGGTTTCTACCTTCAGATGACAGGAACAGTTTGGGCAGGCTGACACTTGTAAAAATAAATACACTCGTCACAAGTTTTACTGCAGAACTGCCAGGCTTTGCCGAGGCTCCTGCTTTAGAACTAGGAGGAGCAGCCATTTGATAAAATCCTATTAACCCACACAAAGTCCAACGTGTCATAAAACACACTGATTCATACATTTTATGCAGTATTAGAATACTCTAAGCACAAGAAACAGGGAGGAGGAACCAAGACGCGTAGAGATGTTTTCCAGACAGCATTCAGCAATACTAAAAAAGAGGAAGAGAAACCTCTTCTTTTCACAGTTCAGTATTTACATCGTCTTCTCCTTAGACAATACAACTGATGCAGTTTTAATTTCTAGACAGATTTTTTAAGCCCTGGCACTGCTGTGTGGTTTCAGGAGAAAAGGGAATGCGGGGAAAGGTGGCAAGAAACTGAAGCCACTTCTGGAAGTTTGTTCTTGTCACTGTCATTTGTAAGTACTCAAGGCTGTTCCAAACCCCATGCAAATGACAAGCACTGCTTGCTGCGTAGCTGAGGATTACTGGGAGAAAGGAAAAAAAAGAACATCCAGCAAACATGCTGAACAGTTAATATCAGAGCAAACTACACCTGTGAGTTGTTCTGCAGGCACCCAGAGTCTAAGGGTCGAGATTCCAGTCAATCAAGTTCATTTTAAGAGCAGCCCTGCTCTGATTAAGTGCTGGTACTTCAGGCTATCTTTTTTTTTTTTTAATATACGTTAACAGTTGGATGAATGAGTTGGGACATGTTCCTGTAATCTTTGTCACTGAAAGAGACACATAGTGAAACCAAGAAAAGAGGAAAGTTGTAAACTGAGATGTGGAAAACAAGGGATAAAAGTTATTCTGGAAAGAGTACCAAAAAAGAAAGAGATATCTTAAAGGTCCCCAAGGTCCCTTATCTGCACCAAGGTACAGAAAGGGCAGCTTTAGCCTAGGAAGGTGAAGTGGGAGAGGGAGATGTAAGAAAGCAGTTGCTGAGAATCCACATGGGGGGAAAACTCTCCCTGTGGAAAGGTGAGAAGCGAGGGGAAGGACAAGAGCACCACGCACAAACAAGTGCTCAAGAGGGTATTTCCTTCCACTCCTCATCTTTGCTGATTTTGCAGCAAAACACATTTTGGATTAGCCTTATCTTCCCCTCCTTTGAAGCCAAGCAACTGTCAGGAGTCTAGGCAAAGAAGCCAAAGGGTCATTTAACATTTACCTGCTCTTAGCATTAAATTCCATTTACAATCTATGACACCTATTAAACGCAAGCGTGAGCACCCAATCAGCTGAAGACAAGTCAGGAAAACTGAAGCCCAAGGCAGGCACAGTGCTAAGCAACCTTATCACACACACCGTCTTCGGGCCCCCATCACAAGGGAGCTACATTTAGTCAGGTGGAGACAAGAACTGAAGCTGCTGTGCACAGCAAGTGTAAAATAAATCAGCTTCAGAGACTGTATGAGCAAAGAGGAAAACGAGCCATGAAGATCTGGAAGAGGAAAAGAGCAATTTTATGATGATGACGAGAAAAATATACCAAAAGTGATTGCAACGTTACAGAAGATTTGGGTACTAAATTACTTCAGCAGTTTAACTAAGAACGGTGTGGTTTATTAGAAACATGACGTCTCTGGAATAGGACAAAAATGGCAAAAAGATTACAAAATACCTGCACTAGAGCTACTAAAGAAGAACAGCTGGTTCTGTGCTACGGGCCAAGTCAGTAACACATACCAGAGGGTGTATGTTTGCCACTTCCCCCCCCTAATGGGATTATGAGAGTAAAGATAGATTAAATACTCTTCTTAGTTTAATAAAGATGTACAACAAGATCCAGAAATCTCTAAATCAAAATTCTTATAATCGTTTCCAAAAGGAGGCTTGAAATACTCAAACTCATAAAAAAAAGTCTGCAGAGAGGCAAAGTGATCCTATTTTGAGTTTGACATTCTTTCTAAAATATATATTCTACCTCTAACTCTCAAATTTGAGAGTGATTAATCCCTGCCCATTTTCCTAAATGCAGACAAGCCATATCACCGTTACAGATATTTTAAGACCAATGCACAGGCAGGAAACCTTGCTGTCACCTAACTATATATTACAAGCACTGATAAGGATATGAACTCAGGAAGTCACTTTCTTCCACCGACCTGCAGAGCTCCACTTAAGATGATCCCACCTAGCGATCTTAAGGACAGTAACGCCCATCACATCAGACCAGCACCTACATGTTGTAGCTAAAACAGAACCTGAATCCTGGGAATAAATGCAAGTGTTTATTTCCGAGGGCAAGAACACAATTCTGACCCATGAGAAAGTTTCTAGCAATCTTAATTATGCTTTCAGTGGCAGAAAGACTTTGTAAGACATTTGTCATTTCTAATGTATGTGGCGCGGGGGGAAGGATCTATCTAAAGTACTAAGTGCTATTTATTAAACAAGTCCTTAAAATAGAATATCTTACTGATATACTGCATTTTTCTATCACTTTGCATGGGACAATTCTAACTTTTCTAGCCTAACAGGAATAGAACACTTGATTTATAACCATAAAGAATCAGTGCACTGACATCACACTCTCAGTTCTTTAAAATAATAATAAAATGCAACCAAAGAGTTTGAACTTATAATGCAGCTTTTTCCTCTCCATTCTGTTTTCTGTGAAATAGGATGCCAAGATGTTACAATTAGTTGAACAATGTGCACCAGCATTTATGTTGGAGAATTAAACAGACAAAAACACAAGGAAACTATTGAGTCATTGTACTGCAGTGAAAGGATTGTAAGGAAGAACCAGACTCCAGGGGGTTTGTTTAATTCTCCAACATAAATGCTGGTGACATAAATTTTTCTAAAACGACAGAAATCCTGAGCACTCACATTCCCAAAGATTATTACAGACACTTGGAAGAGTTGCTTGAGATTTGCTCTCTCTTATGGGAGGTGGAAAAGGAACCAATTCTGTAACCGTACGTGATGAGTCTAGGCCCAGCACGGGGCCTGGGTACAGCCATGTGCACTATGGGGATGACAGCAGCATTTGGGGACTGCTCTGAAGGGCTTAATATGCAATATTTTAGCAGAGATCCCTAAAGAAGCTTAACTTCTGGATATGCAAGTTATTTAATTTCATAATATTGGACTGGGGTTACAACAAAAACACCCCGTATGGGCTAGAGCTGGGCATCAATCTGAACCAAGAACTCCCTTTGTCTGTAGTGCACATCACCTAGATATTAAACAATCCTTAAAAGTTTTTCCCACACTTTAATCCAAAAAGCAGATCTCACCCAAACCAGCAAGCCCACCTGACCTAAGAATAACCCTGAACACACTGACATCAAATAGTTGCCCGCTCTGCTGCGGCCCTCAAACCTGGCCCTGAGAAAACAGGGATTTCTGGAGCCAAGGAAGGTCTCCAAACCTCTTCCCCTTCTCACCAGCTGTTCTGTGCACCTGCTGAGTACAAATGATGCCATCACCAAGTTAAATTAATGGCTATCTCCCAGCAGGAGCAATCCATCCAGCCCGTTATCGCCCCAGCTCTGCCTCTGCATCACTCCCTTAGCCCTTGGCATCCATCTGGCCTAACAGCAAGATAACTGAACCCTTACAGCCTTCTGCCACATCAGCTTGGCATTGGTAAGTGCTAGAGCACAGGGAGGAAAGGGGAACATGGCCTGGGAAGACGTGGGTCCAGCCCTTGCAGACACAGGAGCTGCTGGAGAGGCTCAGATCCAAGGACAGCCTTTGGTACCCAGGTCATCCCCAGCGGACACCTCACTCGTGGGTTAAGAGCCACTTGCTCCTACTCTTTCAAAGGGGAAATCACAGTATAGGCAGAAAAATTAAACCATTGTGTTCATTTGAAGAACAAATGATCCTCCCTTTTGTGAGGGAAGTGAGGCATTCACTATTTACTGACAAGCCACTGAAATAGTTGCAACATTTTCCATGGGGTTTTGTGATGCTACAGAAAGTAAGATTTGATAGGTCTTAAATAGGAAGAGAACGAGATTACTGATAAGAGAGCAGCTCCCAGAGCTGCAGAAGTTTCAGTACCTCCTCCTCCAAGAGGGGCCTTGGCCTAATTCCCCTCCCAATATTCTGTTCTAGAAGAACTAATGGCTTCCTTAACACTACATGTCAGCAATCTAAGCGCAGGGATATTCCTAGACAAACCTCTGGAGCTGTATTAGTGTGATACAGAGTTTTAGCAGCAGACACAGGACTGAGTGTGGGATTGAGCAAGGGGGCAGTTACTTGGAACCAGAGTTATCTGACAAGTTGGCTTCCTGCAAAGTCCTAGAAGTTGTTTTGCAACCTGACGGCTGAGAAGCGAACTCCAGGCTCTGCGACTAAAGCAAAGACTCCTCTTTATTTGTGCTTGGCCACACTTTATTTCAGTCATCCCATTTAGACTTATTTTGGGGAGAGGCTAATTATTTTTTATTGGACAAACAAGCTTTTAGTAGTGGGGGGAAGATGCATTAGAGATGCCTAGAAATAGCTCCATGGCAATAACAGATGTGTTAAAATAAGGTAGCGCACAGGTGGTGTAAGTTCTGGTAAATAACTCAAGTAATAATTTACTTTCTTCTCCCAGAAGAGAGGATTAAGCAGTGGAGGATGCGGGCAGCCCTGGGGCTGGGTCTGACCGCAGGCCCGAGGCGCTGGGGCTCTAAGCCCGACTCACCCATCCGGGGGTGGGCAGGAAACGGGAACGGCTTTTCCCATCGGGATTCGGCCACGGCGGCGGCCGCGGGCCGTGACGCGGATCCCGCGCGCCCGCCCGCAGCTCCGAGCGGGACGTTGCCTAACTGATGAATCAGCGCGACGGGGAAAGCGCTGCCTAAAAACTGTCCCGGGGGGAACGGAGGTGCTCGAGCAAGCGTTGATCTCGTGCGCGACGGGGCCCTAAGCTGCGGCTTTACCGCAAAAACCTGCGCTCAAGGGAGCGTCCGACACGGCCATGCAGCCGCCCCCTCCCCTCCAGCCTTCCAAGCACCAGGGCCGACATTCCCCCCGCCACGTTTCCCCCCTGAATCCTGCCCTTTTCCGCCCTACCCTCCCGGGGAACGCGCCCAGCTCCCGCTCGGCCTCGGCCGGGGCGGGAGGAGACCCAGGCCCCGCGGCGGGGAATGAAGGAAGGAAGGAAGGAAGGGAGGGAGGGAGGCGGCGGCCGCCATGGCGGTCGCCAGCAGGGCCGGCGAGGAGCCCAGACCGGGCCGCGGCGCGCACCTGGTCGGCGAAGTCCTCGGCCGTGCTCATGATGTTGATCTTGCCCATGGCGGAGCGCAGCGAGGGGAGCCGGCCCGAACCCTGCGTGCGCGCGCGCGGCCCGCAGGAAAGGCCGCCCGCTCCGCCTGCCACGTAGGCCCCGCTCTTAAAGAAGCAGCAGCGCCCGCCGCCGCCGCCCGCGCGCCACGGGGAGGGGCGGCCGGGCCGAGCCCGCCCCGCGCGCGCGGCCTGGGGAGGAGCGGGACCGGCCCCCGGCATGGACCGGGGGAAGGGACACGGCCCCGGCCGCCATGAGCGACCCCCTGTGCCCGCCCCGCTGCCCTCTTCCCTCTTTCTTTCCTGCCCCAGAATGACCGGTTTCCTAAATTAAAAAAATCCTAAAATAAAACTATAAATAAATCGCTTTTCCTTTACTTTCCCCTTTTTCCTTGCCCTGTCTTAATTTCGGGGTGTTTGTGTGGCTGTGGTGACGAGCAGGGTGGCGGCACATGGAAATCACATCGGGCTGCAGAAAGGTGGTTCTTCCTCTCCTCTCACACCTCATTTTTCTTTCTTCTTGTTTTCTTCCTCCCCCCAACCTGTGGCTTTCTGATCGTTTCACTACAAGCTAAGCCAGCCTGTGTGCCTGGGGCTAACTTACAGGGCCAGGGCAGTAACATACAGGGCAGGGGGAAAGGCCTGCCTGCATTTTGTCCTTATCAGCATTCCTGAGGTAGTACTAGTGCCCTACTGCCTTTGATGGGGACAATATTTGCACTAATTCTGTGAGGGGAGCAGCTCTCTGAGCTCAGCTTGGCCTATTTTTTTTCCCCTCAGGTTTCTTCCTGTTTTAGCAGAAAAACCCCATCCGCAGAAGCATTGCTGCAGAAAGCCGCAGGGTGTAGATAAACCTTGGGCTCCTGTCACTAAAAATGTCCCCCCCGCGGCTTTTTGCGGCCGCGCCACCATCAACACCCCACACGCAGCTGGCGGCTCCGCGAAATGGACGCCGGCGGGGGCCGGGGGCGCTGCTGCTGAGGGCGGGAGAGCTGGAGGCCCCGCTCCCGAGCGGCCTCCCTCCTCCGCCTCCGCTGTCCCCTCCTTGCCCGCGGTCACCAGGGAACACGGAGACGCCATGGAGAGATACGAGGTGCCCGTGGGAGCTGTCCGGCCTCGGGCAGCGTGGGGGAAATGGCGGGAGGGCAAGGGGGCCTGCTTAGGGAAATGGTGGGAGGGACTGGGCCTGGGGAGGGGAAGGAGGCCCTCAGGGGGAACGTGGCTCTGGGCTGTGGGGTTATGAGGCTTTTAGGGGGTACATGATGCTGGGGAGGGGGGCCATGGCTGTTGTGGGGCGCATGGTCATGGGGAGGGGGTGTATAAACCCTCCCTACACCGCACTGGGAGGGGGTACGGGACATTGAAGGGGCTGAGGCTCTGGGGGGGATCCGTGGTCCTGGTGGGGGGCATGGCCTTGGGCAGGGTGTGTGTGAGGGCCCAGGGGGGTCCATGGCCCTTGGGAGGGGTTCATGACATTGCAGAGGGGGTCCATGGCCCTAGGGGTCCTAGGAGTGCATGGCCCCGTGGATACGAAGTCCAGCACCTCAGGGAAGACGGGAAGGGGGATCTGCTCGGCCCTCACGTCAGCGCGAGGCGCCCCGGGTCTGGAGAGGCTCTGTAGGGAAGGGGCTCGGAGGGACATTGTGCCTCGTTCGTCCCCTGCCTCGAAGCGGGTTGAGAACACGAGGGTCTCTGCCCTGTCCCACAGGTCCTGGAGCAGCTGCCGCCCGGCGCGCTGGGCACCATGCTGGTGGTTGAGCTGAAAGCGGAGGAGAGCACGGGCAAGAAGTACGTCATGAAGCAGGTGAGAAGGTGGTTGCTAGGAAAACAAGAGCCTGCCAGCACCTTCCTCATCTCCATGGTCACTTTTGATTGTAAGAGACAAACAGGCAAAGTGGCTGGGCCGCTGGGTGAGCAGATGTACACGCTGCACCGCGCTGCTGCCTCCGACAGCTCCAGCATTTGGATTGTTTTACTGGAATATTGGCATTAGAACTGGGAAACAGGGAGCACAGCCTGTGCATCCATCCAGCATGTTTTAACCTAGTATTTTGACGGTACAGACAAAGGACTGGCCAGTCGTCCTGGGCTGATTGAGACCTCAGTGTCTGCTCACCTCCCAGCAGAATGGTCCAAACATTAGTGAGTGGTTGCCATGGAGAGCTATAATTTAAAATTTATGCCAACTCATACACATGTTGTGGTTCCGATGGTCTTGGCAAGATCGCTGTGACATCTTTATTGGCTTAATGGTTGGCTGTCTCTGTGTTAGAGTCTCATCATCATCTTCTGTTTGTTTGGTACAGGTTGAATGTATTGAAGAAAAGCAAGCAAACAAGGCCTTGAAGGAGGTATCTGTGCAGCTTTTCTTTACTAATTTTACTTACAAAGCCCAAAGTCTGTAAGGGAACTTTGTAAATAGAACAAAGCCCTTTGTCTGCAGTGCACGCAAATGTACACAGTTAAGATCTGTATTGAGTAAGACTATTTCTTACGATATCTCTGTAGTGCTATTATATTTTCCGTAGCTTAAGCTTAAGAGCAGTTACTGGAAATAATGTCTATGCTAGAAGTACCACCTTGACTTCCATACCTGTGTTTTCAGATTTGAATGCTAGATACATCTTACCAGGCTGTTACAGCACTGCATTGAGTTGAATCTTCCTGAAATATTTCAGGACACTAGTCTCCCATTGGACTTGACTTCGGAACATGGGGATATTTGAGCTTATGCTTAGAAAGTTTTGAATCAGCCATGTGACATGAAGAAGCAAGGAACTGACTTAGGATACAATTTAAGGGCTTGCTGAGTGGGATGGAGCATGTAGCTATAGTAAGTTTTATCTCTGGATTTTTTTTTATTCTGTGCAGGCAATGGATTTGCTGAAACTTCGTCATCCAAACATCTGTGTTTACAAGGAATTGTTTGTAACATGGGATAATAAGGTACAGGATTTATTCAACTGGAGCACTTGTTAATTTTTTTTTCTTGGTTCAAATTTGGGGTTGTTACTGTGAGACACTAAAAAATATTATCTGATCTGCAACTTACCTGCTTTTTTAAAGTCTCAATTAAACATACTGAGGAAGGTATGTGGGTCAGAATCTACCACATGGCAGGATCAAGAGCTTGATCCTAAATTATAATGTTTAGTTTTTTGCTTATTCCGTTCCATTTTATAGTGCATATATCATCTTAAGCTGCTTTTGTACTGTCTTCAGTATGCCTGCTTAAAAACCCTTTTATAGGAGGTTTAGGAAGTCAAAAGCTCTGACATATGTACTTGCAGACATGATTCAGCACTCCAGGAGAATTCATGTTGATTTTATGGCTGTATATTTGACTTGCGTTGTCCCATGCAGCTTCAAAGAAAAGACTCCTGCTAATGTTTTTGAAATAAATGTATGCTATATTTTTGATAAAGGAAATACTGTCTCTTTTGTGAGAGATTAATAAGCTCAGAACATGCTGGTGTTGGTGGAAGTTCCACCTACCTGCTTGACCAAGAGCTTGGTTTTGTCTTTCTTGCTGGATATATTATTATCTGCAAACAGGCAATCTGGGTGTAATTTTCTTTACAGATATCATCTCTATTCCTTTGTCTGGTAATGCAACACTCAGGCCAGGGAGATCTTTCATCTCTGATCAAGCAAAAAAGGCAGAAGTCAGAGAAAATAACAGACAAGGTAAAATGCACAGAAGATGCATCTGATTAAAATGAGTGAGACTCTCTGCTTTTAGATTTCTTCCTCTGATTCCCTCCTTCTCCAAGCCTTCTCCAAAACCTTCAAAACACAACCACAGTGGTTTTCTTAAGGCGTGTTTGATAAACTGTGGTTTTGCCCTGAATCAATGTGAAATTGTCGTAATAATAATAAACAACTCTTTGTATAACTGGTGCTCAAACATTTAAATCTGTTCTTGTTTTAATTTTCATCTGTAAAATACATGGATAATAGCAATTGTCTAGTACTGACTGTACTAGTAGTACACAGAGTGCTGAACAGATCTGTTATATGAGGAAAATACTACTTGCTTCTCGAATGGACCCTGCTTCAAGCAAAGGAATTCTCTCATGTGAAATGCTTTATTTCTCTATTACTCCGTTTACTTTGCACTTTCACGTATATTCCTGTCAGTAGGTGATTCTGAAGTTCCTGGGGCAGATGGTGGATGCTTTATTTTATATACACGAGCGAAATATTATTCACAGGTGAGTAGAAATCTGTTCTCTTTGTCCGGGAGGTGATTGTTCTTTGCAGCAACTATATGTTCAGCACAACTGTTCACTTAAGACATATCGAATCTAACTGCTCAAAAAGGAGGATTAGCAGATAGGAATTCTGCACTTTGTACATAGCTTTGTTTTCTGTGACTTTTGAAAGTCATTTAATTCTTTAGTTTTATCTAGAATTATCCATTTGAAAGTTGTGCTAGATAGTCTGTATTTGCTCTTCGGAACGAATGAACTGTCTCTGTTAGTGTTCATATTTTAATGGCCGTGGCACACAATCTATTCTTCATGTATCTAAAGTAACAGATTAAAGCATTCTATTAGATGCTAAGATAAATCTACGTTGCAGTAAATTTTTAAAGCATTTTTCATTAAAGGAAGGAAATGATTGTATTTGAGTTCATTATCATTTTTTTTGCATGTGTAAAAATGCTGGGAGCCCATAGTTATACAGTATTGCATTCTGATTTCACACGCTGACAGAAGCTGTTTGTGTTGTAGAAATCTCAAGCCATCGAACGTTCTTGTGACTGATGAAGTATCCTTCATGCTTTGTGACTTCAGTACAGAAGCACTTATGACTGATGAAATGAAATGGAAAATAAGAGTGGAAGAAAGTAGGTTTTTATTTTATTTATTTATTTAATTATTTGGTCGTGGTACTTATTTTTAATCCTCGGAGAAAAATAAAAGAAACACAATACACATTCTCCCCTGCTCTCTGCATTATGCTATTTTTTCTTCTCATGAATAAAGAGTGACAAAACTTCTCTGCAACGAATTTTGTTGGGAGCCCGTTTAGCTTTATGCATGCACAGTAACATCTTGGAAAATTATTCATTAGTTATAATGTGTTTCTTACAGTGTTCTATGGCATATGGTCAGTAAAAAAAAGACTAATTATGCTGTATATCTCTGAAATATCTGACACGGAGCTAGAGCCTACAGATTATGGCTGTGCCAGGCAAACTGTGCATGTAGTACAATGTCAGCAACATTACCATATGATTCTTATTTCAACAGATAGCAAGTCTTGGATGGCTCCAGAAACACTCAGTTTTTCTTTTAGTGAGAAATCCGACATCTGGTCCCTAGGTTGTATTCTACTTGACATGATGACCTGTTGTGTTCTGAATGTATGTAATAATATTTCCTTAAAGATTTTAAATGCCCTGAGCCCACGAGGATATCTGTATATTAGTGTATGAAAGGTCTCCCGATGCTCTCCCATTTACAGACAGAAGAGATAACTTCATTACTGCGGGATATTAGACAGGATACCAGCTGTCTTGAGGGACTTCTGACATCAATGCAAAACGGAGATAGCAGCTTTCTGCCTTTATTCACAATTGTATTTATGATGCTACATATTGAGCCCAGCATGAGACCTACAGCAAAGTAAGTTCTGGATGCTTTCCCTTTATTATTATTGCTATTTTTTCACTAAACCCACCTCCCTTAACGAAAAGAGGGAGAGCTAGCTGCTGTTTGAAAGTGATTGGCAAAAGGCTGCTGATCTTATTTCCCTGACAAATGGACTTATTAGAAAAGATTCAAAGACTTTATTTCTCTTTTTCTTTTTTTTTTTTTTTTTTAGAAATGAGCATTATGATGAGGCTAATTTTCATTTTTGAAGACCTACTTTATAAAATTATGTTACAGGCATTTTTTTGCAGCCTGAGAATACATACATTTCAATTTAACGTGTAACATTTAGGTTCTATAGCCATTTTACAGGCAGTTAATTGAAGCCAAAGAATGACTTGATTAAAGTACTTTCTTTCCATAGTATTTTTAAGGTAAAATTATAACTTCCGTCAAAAATAATCCAATTTTGAAAGAAGTATTGTTTAGGGGCATAAATCATAGTGAAACAAAGCTTGTAGGAAATCTTTGTAACTTACCGATTCTAACTTACTGATACTACTTTTTGTCTTTCCTAACTCTAGGGCTCTGACTGATTTTCCACTTATTAAGGAATGCCTGACTGGTGCTGGCTCCTTCTTAATAAAACCCAAAGAGCCTTTGCCTCTCAATATATTAGACGTGCTCCTTGAGGGAGGAGTTGGCAGTGTTCCAGGTAATAAGAAAATAATGTGAATTTCATAGTATGATGATTGGAAAATGAATTATTAGCTATTTAGGTTACTTGAATATTATCTGGAGAAAGAGTTGCTACGTTACCTTTTCTATAACCTTGTAAGATTACCAGCCATACCCAACGCACTGGTTGAATGGGGTTAGAGATGATTCTTCAGGAAATCTGGGAACCTGCTTATGTTGCTTGCATTCCAATGTGTTAGCCAGTTTATGCCAGCAGAGGATGTGTTTATACCAGCAAAGAATCTATCATTTCCTCCATCATTTTCCTTCTAAGTAAGGATGAAGTTATTGTATTCTGAAAAGACTATTTTGAAGTCCCTAACCCTATTTTAATTTAGTATTCCAGGCGATCCTCCTGTACCCAGATCATAGAGGTGAATTGTGACACTTAGCAATGTGTGAATGGTTGAAACAATCACAAGTTGGAATATTTTTATTCATGTGAATTCACGTGTCTTGCACAACATAGAAAATCTGCTTTGTGAGAGTATTTGTATCAAGTAAGAATTGTCTTCTTTTATGCAGAGTTCATGAACGCATACTGGAATAGAGAAGAAGCACAGGTTAAAGCTGTGGAGCACCTTGCAGGCTTTCTGGGAGATAAAAATGGTGAGGCAGTATTTTATTCATTTATTGGGTCTGTTCTTTCTTTACATTTTGAGATAACGGTAAGGGGGAAAATGTTCTCTTGACTGTCATTGAGAATGAAATTGCTTTCTTCCTATTCTTCATTTTTGCATGTGCTGAAATAGGCTGCCATTTGTTAGGATTGTGGTGCTACTTGTCTTACAAATGCTTTTCTTGAACCAAGAAAAGACCAACACAAGACCAATAGTCACCGCAAGAACTCAGTGAGGCTTTAGCCAGCAACTGAGGTGAACTGGCAAACTGACATTTGTTGAGCAGGTGGAAGGTAATACATATCAGTGTTGGGCAAAATATTGATAATGCCTGGGGATATAAAACAAAGAGAGCAAAAGTGAGCTACAGGAGTCTAGTTTTTGTGTGTCTAATAAGCTGTGTGAAGATTGAATGTTCTCTCCCAGTATGGAAACCTTTTTTCAGATTAATCTTTCTAATCAAGATCAATCTTTTCAAAGCCACACATTAACTCAGTTATGAAATCAACAACTGTGTAGTAGTGTCATCTTTGCAAATACTCAGAATGGATTCCTAGAAACCACCCAGTTTTTCCTGAGCTTTTTTTTCATCCTGAATGCTCTGATAAATTGATAGCTGTATTAGCTATTCCAAAAGCTCCAAGTCTTCCTAGTGTTAAGAAACCTTGTGGAATATTTTCCTCTATAGGTTGTAAAAGCTAAACTTTTTATTCAAAAATGGAACTCAGTTTTAAACTGTAGGCACCGGCCGAGCAGTTAATTAACAGTGTAATGAGTGTTGACTTGCATCTTTTCTCCATAGCTTTACCCTGCCTGCTGGCATGCACAGGACTGATCGCTTCTGCCATGAAGACTCATATAGATTCTGTCAAGTTACAGAGAGATAGCTGCAGATTATTGCTTGAAATTCTTAGTCAAGGTACAGTAATGAGGCTTGATTGGATTGCAACTAGTAAGAATTTTATTTCAGAAAAAAGCATGTTTAAGATAACTCTTGGTTTTATTGTGTGAAGAAATACAGTTCATGTTTTGCTTATAATGAGAGCAGGAAGCTCAGACTTCATTCAAAGCCACTGAAATCCCTGCATTCTGTTCATTTTTTTTTGCTTTTGACAGCTCTAGAATGTAATCTGGATGTGGAAAGAAGCTTGGATGACAGTGTGATTAGCTCTCTGCTAGAGACATTGAGAAATTATTCTGAAAATGAAGAGTTGCTTTCATTGGTCTGCACGCTGTTGATGATGATTTCATCCAGTGGTGGGTCACCTTGCTCATTTTGGTGAAATTCCTTATTTTCCCACTTTTATAATCTAAGCTAGTAATACTTTTATAAATTACAGCACTTTTATAATACTTTTATACTAGCCTTTATAATCAAAGTTACAATGGAGAATTCATGACAGCGCTGAGATTTGTGAATGTCTGGAGGTGTTAGGTCAATAGTGGTGAAGTTTCTTATTTATAACAATCCTGGAAGTAGGAGACACATCGCTAAGGTTTCAGGCACTTACAGATGTGTATATTTTAGAGAAGTGCTCTATCTGATCTTCTTTGGGAAAGTACAAATCGTACAAATAGTGGTGTTTGGAAAAGGAGGGCAGACAACCTGCATTCTATTTCTGGCTGTGCCATGGAGAATTGAAACCTAATTTCTCTGTGTGGGTTTTGCTCCTTAGTTTGTAGTTGCTAAATATTTATTATGGTTTTTTACCTGTTTGAACTGTCAATTCAACATTCAGCAGAAGATTGTTTTTCTAAATGTTTACAGAAGGATTTAGTAATGAAAGTATAATCTAAAAAAAGGACAAAAATGAAGTGCCTATATTTATACAAATAAAGTTACTAAGACCAAGCTATTTTTATACATTTTTTTCTCCTAACTCTCCAGTGAATGAGGCAGTTTGAGTTGCTAACTTGTGAATTATGGTAATTTCTACCTTCTTAATTCCTTTTTTGTTCTGTACATTTCAGAGCTGTAAGGAACAGGTATGGCTGAACAGGCAGTGTTTGCAGGGGTCACTTGTGATGGACACTGTGCTTACGTTCACCCGTTTTCCTCCCCTGGGATCATATCACTGTTTAAAAAAAAAAAACAGATTTGATACAATTTCTGTTTTCTGTGCTTTTTAGAAGTTGCTGCAGAGAGTATAAGAAAAGCTGGAGCAATTCCTGACCTTCTGATGAGCATAAGAAAATTTCTTCATAATGAACAGATTTGCCTCGCTTGCTGTGGAGCTCTCTGGAGTTTGGTTGTGAGCGGTGAGCAGAACACAGCAAGTATTATGCCTAAATTCATGTGCCTGAGGCAGCAGGTATTGTGAACTTTTAGAACAGAACAGAACTGAACTTTAGAACGGAACAGAACTGAACAGAACTTTTGAGTTCTGTGTCTAGCCATATCCACCATGTTCTGTCCAAAATGTGGTTATTTTTGAGGTTGCATGATGTGATCCCCATGTATAAATTAAGTGGTAGAGAAAACTAATTACTGGAGAAGTTCAGCTTTCTTCAATAAGCATTCCTGTTCTGCAGTCTGAAAGATTAACTTTCTTTTAGAGTATTTTAAGATTCCTTTCCTCAGCTGTTTTTTCATACTGATAATGTTGCATTACTCCAGTGCCTTCATCAATTAAGCTTTTACTCATGTGATTTGATACGCAATGTGCTTATGATAGTATGACTTGATTAAATAATTCTACTTGATACATTTCCTCTCTATTAAAGGTAATTTAGAGAACAGCATAGACAAAGCAGTGCTGAAAAATGCCCTCAGTGCTTCCTCTGCTGTCCTTCAGGAGCACGTCCAGAACGGCGCAGTCACCGAGGCAGCTTGCTCAGCAGTCTGGGCACTGTCACTCCAAGGTGTGTTTTCCTGGGCTTCTTGTCCCTAAACTTGTGTGCTGATGGTGACTCCTGAAATGCAGGCTGCTCAATCAGAGCAGACTCTGCAGATGGCAGCAGAGTTAGGAACTTAACCCCCTTGCTTACCCTTCTCTGCATTTGCACTCTGACACTCTCAAATGTAGTTATTTTTTTGATGAGCTGTAGCAATTATAACTAGATACTGCAATGGATACTGTAATGATGGACACCTATAGCAACCTGTATAGCACAGAATGCTGTTTCTTGCTTATCTTGCATGCCCAAGAATGCTGGCTCTGTTACTTTCTGCTGTGTTACTCCTTTGAAAACAGCATTAGTGCTGTGCAGAATGGAATACAGGGTTTGTTTTTTAAACCTTTGTTAATTTTGTGCCTTGGGAACAACATTTCAGTTTAAAAAATAAAACCGTCTTTCATTATTGTGTGCTGTAATAAGTGCATTCCTGTAGTGCTAGTCTGTCTCTTATGCATGCAGAAGTATTGCCATAACTACAGCTGCATCAAAACCTTTGCTTATGCCATTGTTCTGGTAAGAAGGGCTGTGTAAAGTAGCCTAAGCAATGTGCTTTCTTGTCTCATTTCTAGTACCCAGTAGAAGAATGTGTTGAGTATTCAGGACTCTTCATGTCCTGGAGAATAAAACAAAATCTTGACATAAAAAACACCCCACAAATTTCTCTTAGACCTCTGGATCAGCTCATGATAAGACTTTACTGGGCCTGTGTTCCTGTAATACAAGTTTTCACATGTTTTGTCATTTTTGTTGCATAATCAAAAAGTCCTTTCAGAAACAGGAGGCAGAAGGTAAAAATGATGATGAGAATTTTAAAGGCTTTCTTTTCTTTCTAAAAGGCTGCTTTACTGAAAATGAATCTGAATCGGCAGCAGCTCTTCTGCTAGATGCTCTCAGGATGAACCTAGGAAGACCAGTGCTGGTGAAGAATGCCTGCCAAGCATTAGCAAATCTTCTCAGGCTTTCTGGTAACATTCAGCAATCCATTTTTATTAATTGTAAATCACCTCACATGTGGACATTTCTGCGTAGTTGAAGACTTTTTAGTGGTAATGGGACTGTATTTCCTCTCCTGGGTTAGTCTTACAGGACTGGAAGAAGTAGTGAAACTGAAGTGTAAACTACTTTTGCTTCCTGTGGGCAGAATGTGAATGTCCAAGAACTAGTACATCAGCATAGTCTGAGAGCTTTTTTTCACCTCTTATTTTATGGTGAAGCTGTTTCAGTTATGTAAAAGGGTAGAGCTCAAGAGAATAGATATCAAAAATAGCACCTCTCTTGTGCATGACAGCATCGGCTGTCTATACTATCTTCTGCTTGCTGCCTGAATATGTTTCAGGAAAGCTTTAGGAAGGTGGGCACTTTTTCCTGGAAAAATATTACAGGTATGCTAGTTAGAGCGGAGAATTGGAACGCAGATAAAACAGTCCACAGCTGCCAATTATATCCCAACAGTGTTTGTTTCTGTTTGTTTTAGAAATATCAGCTTTCAGATTTGTAACAGATTCAAAAGGCAACGGAATAAAACTGATCAAAGATGCCTACAGCTTCCACCGCGATGATCCAGAAGTGGTGGAAAGTGTCTGTGCACTGATTAATGAGCTGGTTCAATATGGTAAGATGGTGGGGCTGTTTGTGCAGTCTCTTTTGCTGCCCCCAAAAGGTAGCAAGGAAAAATTGTAACAGCAACTGAAGGATGTCAAAATTGAACTGTAGCATCATCCCATTTTGTTGTTCTTGAATAAGTATCTCTGCAAAGCAAGCAGTTCACCTTGCCTTCTGTTCTGATAGACCTGTCCCCTTTCTGCCCTCCTCTAGGACTTAGGAATAAAGAAGTTATTCTAGACCACAGCTGTATGCCAGTTAAGGTAAATTATCCTGTTTATTTACATCACAGATGACATTGCACTGGACATGGTCTCCCAGAAGATGAAGGAAATGCTGTCTGAAATAAAAAGCCGCTTTCCATCTAGCATGGTACGTGGAAGTCACTGTCACAGTAAAGGGCATGGACTTCATATCAAATTTCTGGTCATGGATTTTATAATCTGTAAATAACAGAAATGACATATCATGGAAATTTAGAGAATTATGGGTGTACCTGGGTGAAGAGCATTTTCATAAAACTATTTATAATTATATTAAAGAAAGTAGTGGGAAGGTTTTTTCTTCTATACGCTCCGTACTACAGATTTTTGATCTGCTCTTTTACAACATTGGCTAGCATTTTACTATATTCTTCACACTAAAACAGTGTCAAGTTTGGAGAAATAAGTCATAAAAGTATGATAAAGCAAAAAAATCTTCTGAAACTGACATCCGTAGAAGGGGTGACATTGCCTTGGAATTTGCAGAATAAGACCCAGAATCCATTTAAAACACAACTAGTTTTAAAGGCCTCTGTTAAACACAGTTTTTATTAATAAAATAACATAAAAATAAGTGAAGCAACAACAATTTTTTATTTGACAAATTTCACATTTTTTTCTAGGAGATAATGGTCCTTGTGGATGCAACGCTTTTGAAACTGCAGAAGTGACATAAAAGCTGTTTGTATAAGAACAAGACCTATAGGCTTCCAGTTCAAGTAGAAATGCTTAGATCCTTCCTAAATATTTTAAGAGATTTTTCTCACCAGCATGTACGATTGATATTGTACTTCAGTGAAACATATATATGTATTTTGTTGATTTAGTTACTATAACTGAATGTGAGACCAACACCACTAACCTCTCTGAAATAAAGATTGTAGCCTTAGACGTTTCAGCAAAGCAGTAACAGTTTCTTCCTTCATGTATCATAATCGGAAAAAAAAAAACCCAACCCTTTTTCTTATTTTTTTAGTATTTCTTTTGCATGAATTGATTAGATGAAGTACTTCACAAATTCAGGCATTTGTTACATGTGCTCTTGAAACTGTAGTAGGCATCAGTAGTGTAGTAGGCATAAATGTGCTCCAGAACTGGGGTTATTTCTGCAGTATTCTTGTACAAAAGTGTTCACATACCACGTCAGGAAGTGTTGTTTGCTGAGCTTTATTATGAAGCAGCTGATGTCAGTTCCAAGTTCTCTATAAATTTCTGTGGGAATTTGACAGGAACACAGCAAATGCTGCACATAAAAACCACAGTGTAGAATTATTCAAATGTCAGAGTTCATTTTTTTTTCTTTACTTTAGATTTGTCCTTAAGAGCAGCTTCCCAACGCCTTTTTTCTAAGGTGTACAGTCTCATAGCTGCTTGTGCATCCTGAATCTGAAAGAAAACAGAACAAACAGACAGCTTAACAAAATACAGTTGACACAGTTTAAGAACATTATTGTTAATAGGTAGCTAAATCTTCCATCAGTTTTAACGCCTACTTAAAATTAGTATTTCGTAAACTGTCTGTAGTATTTTATCCAACCTGCTATAGTTTAATGACACAAAAAGCTGCTTTTAAGGTATGAGAGAGACAAGAATAAAGCCACAGGCTTCTGGACTGAACCCAGCTGCTAGAAGTAAGAAATTCAGCCAGAAATGTTCCGATGGGATACGTACCGAGCAGTGCTCCGATGTCTGCACTCGGACATTGAGCAGCCTTTCACAGAGCAGTTTCAGTGATGGTCGCACATTCTAGAAGAAAAAAATAGAATTGACCTGTCTCACATTGTTTGGGATCTGTACTGAACAATATATTTAAACTGAAGTATAGCACATCTTTGCTTCTAGTGGTGAGCTGGCAAGAAGCATTAACGAACTTACTCACTGAATTTATGCATAATGGATTTATTCATAATGGATTTATGCATAGGTTTGCACACAATGCTGAGAATTTTGCATGTAGCCCTAACACTTTTTGTTTGTGGTGAGGAAACATGAGGAGCAAGCTGGAAATTGGGAGTCAGCAGCTCAAGACTCAGTTCATCAAGGTGTCCTTTCCTGACTTCTTACCTTGACTCTCTGCCTGAAAGGCTTGTATTTTTGTGTGTCACGAATTTTCTTCTTAGGATGATCGAGAAATAGGACCTGAAAACAAAACAAAACCTATGTATTTCCAGTCTGAAGATTGTTGCAGCTGAAAGCACAACTTTCAGCTCTTTCCTGCCATCCATTATAGAAGACCGTTCCAAGCCATGAATAAACAAGCCTAAGATCAACTAGACTGGCAGGATTCAAGAGCCACAGTACTATTTAACATGAGAAACATTATTCCATCTAGAGGTATCACCTATAGAGACCACTGGCAGTGCTGGAATAACATGATATAACTGGACACCTGTATCTAGTAAAGACATCCAGAGTGCTCCGTTTTGGGGACAAGCGAAGCATACAAACAGTTTTTGTATCATGCTGGTTATTTCCTGAATATTTAGTAGTCCATTCTTAGTTCTATTTGAAACACAGTTCTGAAGCTGAAGAACTTCAGCGGGCAAGTGAAGAGAACTATACTTGATACAGCTTGAAATGACAAGAAACTGAGCCAACAGTCCTAAAGCTGTAGTTTCTTGGCATTGAGTTACGTTCATCTGATCGCTGGGAGATAAATTAGAAATGCAACCAAGCATTGAAATCTTGGGTTCAAAATAACAATTCTGCAGCCACGTACCTTTAAGTCATTGTGTAAAGCGTGTCCGACCAAAATCCTTCCATTTAAGATGTCAGCAACCTCCTTCTGAACAACTTTAAAATCCTCTCCTAAAAATAAGCCACAATGAAACACTTTCTATTAGACATGAAAGGCAACTCAGCAAGCTGCAATTAAAACACTGCATCTTTTGTTTGTGATGGCAGCAGCATCCTTTGAACCCTTGCATGAATGTTTACAGTATTATGAATGCGGACACTACAATAAATACTCTGCTTGTTATAAAAGCATAGAGAATTCCATAAGGAGCACAGCACTTAAAGGAAATGAACTTCTATATTATTTCTATACTATGATTAAAGAAATAGGGCATTTTCATGGGGCACTGGAGACTGCTCTAAATAAAGGACATCTTCCCAAGTTTCTTCCCCAGCATTCACTTTGTACTTTCATGTACTCAGCCTCTAACAACCTTTTATTTTCCATTTTCTAGAATAAAACTAAAACTTTCCCAAGCTCAGACAAGGAGACTTTGTGATAGCCTGCTTGTCCTCCCTTAAGGACATGTTGGAAAAAACCCTCTTACCTGTCTTTATATTCCCAGGGCGAATGCCACTAACAGCTGTTCTGTAATCAGTCACCTCTTCCGTGGGCTTGACATACTTGTCATAAACGCACTTTCCAAACTGGTTCACAATGGACACGCGAGCCACAATACTGTCCTCGCCCTTGGGTCCCACTCCCACCATTTCACAGTCCATGGCCACAGCTTTTGTCAACCTTAAAGACAACAGGACACGTTTGCTGCAGCCTCACGAGGTTCACACATCAATATTTGTCTATCAGCAGACTCAGGAAGATGTCAGCTTGTGCGGCGCCTTTGCAAGTCGCAGGTAGCAGCAGATAATCTCGATCACTGCTACCCCACTGGGACACCACTCACCCTTCAGAAGCCTTTTCTTTAACCAGCACCCGCTCCACAGCCTCTTTGGTTTGGCCCGTTTCAAGTCCCATTTTTCTTCTGGCAACTTTTGCTGCTTCGGGTCCTATTGCTGCTTCAATATCTTTTGGATCAACATCATCAAACCAGATGTCAGCCCTGCGAAATACAAAATTTGGTTACATTTCATAGCATTAAAAAGGACCCTGCATCTTTATAGTGTAGAAAAAGCTTGTTTTTTAATTTTAATCAAGAAATGAGCTCTGTGAAAGCCAGTCCAATACTGACATCCATGCAGTTCTGTTGCTATAGATGAGTAATTGGGGTACTGTATATTTTGCTTCTTCCAAAATTTAGTCTGGAAGAGTGCACCTATTGCAAAAGCTCCTTCTAAAATCCACGTTCACACACACACATGAAGCTTCAAGTACTCACTCCTCTGGCTGTGGCTCCACATGTTCCTCAGCTTTCCTCCTTTTATGCTTTATATCACCCCGCTCCTTCTCAATGGTGCCATTCTTCTTTTTCCCTTTGCCATCCTTCCCGGTGCTGTTCAAAGCCTTGTCCCCCGCAGTCCCCTTGGATTTAGCATCCGAAGGGGGGTTGCCTTCAGCAGAAGCGCTCTTGGTCTTGCTCGCAGACTTGGGTTTCGCCGCGCTCCCCTTCCCCTTGGCGGCTGCCTCTCCTCGGGCGCCTCCTCCCTTGGGCGCCTGCTTCTTGCCGGGCGGTTTCGCACGCGCGGCGTCGGGCTCCTCGGCGCCCTTCGCCTTTTGCTTCAGGAGCTAAAATGGACCCAAAAGAGCAACCCGTGGGTGACCGGGGTGCAGGGCGATCCCGCGTCACCCACAGCAGCAGGATCACTGGTGTGATGGAGCATCCCTTTATCCCGGCATCAGCCCACCTCCCCATCCCGCATCCCCGCAAGGGGGGACTGCCCCAGGCTCCATCCCCAGCGCCTTATCTCCCTCGGTGCCACAAAATCCCCTTAAATCGCTACGGGAATTGGATCCCGTAGGCCTTTAATAAGGCCGTTGGCTCGGCCTTTGGGGCGCTTTAGCGCTGCCTTTGGGACCAAACCGGAGCCCAAACGGGAGCCCAAACCGGAGCCGCAGCCTCCCCGCCGCGGCGCCCTCACCTCCTGCAGCGCCTTCCAGTTCGCCGAGAACTCGTGGGGGCTTCGCGGCGGGGCCGCGGCCACAGCAGCCGCCCCGGGGCCCTTGTGCGGCGCGGCCGCCTGGCTCCGGCCGCGGCTCCGGCCTTTGCCGCGCGCCTTCCCGCCCGCCGGCCCGGGGCCCGGCGCCTTCGCCATGAGGCGAACGGGGAAGGGCCGCGCTCGGCCTTCCGGGAGGCGGCGCGGCCCGAGGGCGCCCGGCCCCGGGGCGGGGAGCGGGGCGGGGACGGGGGACGGGGCCGGGCCGGCCCCGGTGGGACCCCAGGGTCCCGCCTGGCACCCGCAGGGCAGCGTGTGGGCCGCTGGGCCCGGCGCTGTTGGCATCGCGGCCCCACGGTGGTTTTGGGGGCCGTGGGGTGGGCGCAGCCCCGCAGCAGCGTTTGGGGGGCAGCGCTTCAGCCCCCGCAGCAGCTCTCGAGCCCCCGGTTAGGGTCGCTGCCCCGCGGCGGCTCCCCAGGCCCGCTGCAGCCTCCCCGGGTGCCCATCGTGACGGGCCCTGCGCCCCCTTCCCCGCGGCTCCGCGCCGGCCTCCTCCTCGGCTTGCACAACTCAGAGCCCCTTTTCCCTCCCTGTTTATCCGGCTGCTAACCCCGGGCCCCAGGCGCCTGCTGCTGCTGCTGATCTCCATGGCTGTACTAAAGCTGCAAACATTGCGCAAAAACTGTCTTTGCCCCCACAGCCGTTCCCGCAGCGAGTCCCGGCACAGCCCGGCTCCCCCTTCCCGGTCCCTCTGCAACGATGTTTGTTTAAATGTTTATTTAAACTCCCAGCCCGTCGCTTCCGCTCCACGTGATGCTCGGGCTAAACTTTTTAATCCCCCCTTTGGGGCAGCACTTGCTCGGTGGAGTTGGTTGAGGTCCCTCCGACATGATCATCAACGCGATGATCCGAGTGCTCGCCGTGCTCCCGCTGGGATTTTCCTGCTTGTCGCCTTTCCAAGAGGTAGGTTTGACCTCCAGAAAATGCAGTTTCCAGGAAGGCTTCGTTTTGTTTCTAGGAAAGAAGAAGGGGAAAGCTCAGTATTTTCCAAGCCAGAATGTATCAGACCACAGTAATCAAGGAGATAAAACCATTTCCCCTGGGTGGTCATTGTGCTGCATATGCTCGATGCAAAATAAAACCATTAGGACTTGGCATCAATGCTTGTGAAATTGTTTGCTGACATTCCTTCTGGGTTAGGTTAAGCTAAATTATAGTCTTCTATCCGTTTGTTTTTCTTTAAAAAAACAAATGTAAAACTCTAAAGCTGTTCTTCTTGTTGCAGAAGTTTCTCAGAGCTTTGGATCCAGAAGATGTTTTCTCATATTTTGGCACCAACTCGGTTTCTGATGGTATGCAGAGTTCCTTCCTTCTTGATTCTGGAGCACATTTGGCAGTTTATTTCCAAACCTGCATGTTTGATAACGTGAAGAACACTGATGTCCTAACCGTGATCTGACAAGTGTTTAACATTTCAGAGTATTTTACTCATGTAGGTAATCCTTGTTTCACTGTGTAAGCAGTTGAGGAACTGGGTCAGTATTTAAAATCTACTAAAGGAGTTAATGATGAATCTTTTTGCACTTTTCTGTTACAGTCCTCGTTCTCCTAATTGATATTTTTCTACAAAATCGACAAATCCAGGTCATCTGAATGGGAAATTGCAGAGTAAAAACACTTTTCAGTCTATTTGTTATTTTTTTTAATAAGTAAATGGAGATGCTAGTATTCCAGGAATATATTGGTGGTAGTTCAGAGTTAAGATATGTGATTTCAGACTTTCCATGTAAAGATGTTGTGTAGTTGTGAGTTCACCTAATGCTCATCGCAGTGTTCCTGCATTATGCCAATTTGCCCTCCAGTGATATTGAGCATATGAAGAAGTAAAACTGTCTCAGCCTTTGTCAGAGCAAAAAATAAAGCAGATAAATCAGGAGCCTGATTATTACCTTATCAGGTACTCTCTGTGCTTGCCTTATCCTCAGTTTGGAGTCGATAAAAGTACAGTTAAAATTTTTTTAACTATAAAAGTTTTTTTTTGACTATTGACACAATGACCCCACAAGATTGCAGCAATTTAAGAATTGTAAAATTTCTTAATTTCTTTTTTTTTTCCATTTCTTTCAGTTCCTGAGTTCGTTGTTGCTCAGCCAACTTGCCCTTGCAAAGAAGAGCAGATCAGCCTGGTGTCATCGTGTCGGATTCAGCACTGCTCCATTGAGGCCTGGGGACATCTCTATGCTTTCGAGTTCCTGGAGGATCGTGGCCTCCTGTCTGCTTCCTTCACGAGCAATCACATGGTGAACTCGTCCTTCAGCCTGCTGAGGCAACGCTCAGGCAACTGCTTTGCAGGTGGAAATCCACTGTACCCTCCAGGGGCCAAGTGTAGAGTCACTTACTGTGAGGGGCAGCTGGTGAGTATGCTCTGAAGTGATCAGCTTCTCTTATAGCTTTTACAGTCCTTGTACGCTAGGAACTTGATACCCCAAACAATAAATGTCTTGACTGTGTTTAAATTCTGCATGTGTGAACCACTTGTTTGCTAAATCTGAACGTTAAAAGAAGGAGAAATAGGAGGGATATGGCACACGGTTCTCCGTTGAGAGCAGATGTCTTTGGATTAACTCAGAGGTGGAATTTCATCTCCTTTAGCAAGGGGTCATCATTGCAGATGAGGAAAAGCTTCATATCAGACCTGTCAGAAGTGAGGATGTTGCCCTGCTGCAGGACCTTGGCTTCTCCAGACCCCACATTATCTTTAGAAGTGCTGGAAGAGGGGCGAATTCCTCAAGAGGTAACATTTCTGGTCATTTGGGAAGGAAGCCCTAGTCATTCTGTTCTCACAAGCTGTCTTCTAGGCGTGGGATTACATAGATGAGCTCCAGGGAGACATTTATACCTGCAACCCTATGATTATACTTTGATAGATGTATTTCATCTCTCGGAGATGTAAATAATGTGTTTTCATTTAGGTGTTTCTGGGCAGATTAATGCCTGTCAATGGACAGAACTATGTTCTCATACCCCTCTGCTGTTCCAGCACTGCTGATGACTTCTGCAGTGGCCACCTTTTTATCCTTACTTGATTGTCCTGGCTTTGTTGCTCTCACAAGACTGATAGGACACACTGAGAAGGATATTGGTACTGACTGGGGACAGTTTTTGACATGGGTGTGGTGTTTTACACACTAGACTATGAAGTTTGTTATCAAGGATACAGTCAGATCAGAGAAAGCAACAGAAGTGGGAAAGCTGGATAAGTGTCTGGAGGATTGCCTTTGTGGTTGGATATTTCTAGTCTTTTGGGAAAAGGAAGGGATCTGTAGGAGCTTCTGTGTCACCTCACACCTTAAATTCCCTTGTCCCTTTACGCTGTTGAGCAGGGCAGTCTCCTCGCCTGCAGAAGAGGGCCGAGGCAGCTGTCAAACATCTGGAGCTAATGGTGGTAGCAGGTCCTGACGTTTACTCACACCACAAGGAGGACACGGAGCGGTACATTCTCACCAACCTCAACATTGTGAGTAGCTGCTGTTTGAGTTGCTGTCCCGCTTGGAGAGCTTGCAGCCTGCAAGGGAGCGTGGCAGAGTCACTTCTCCTGTAATGGAGCACTGCCTATATGCAGGACATGCCTCTGGGCTCCCATAGGGAAGCCTTACCCTTATACAAGGAGCTGAAGGATAGAAGTGGGTGTTAGAGGCTTTGAGGTTGCAGCTTTGAAGCCTGTGTAGAAAATACAGCCGTTTGTTTCATTACTAACATTGATATATTGCTAATGTCAGATCCAGTAGCAGGAGTTTTATTACCCAAGTCCTGAATCAGTCCCCGCTGACTTTAGGGGTATTGAACCAGATCAACCAAATTAATCTTATGTTTTACACATCAACATTTTGTTTCTATTACAGATTTTTTTTTCTAAATTTCCCCCTTTGCTCTCATTAAGAATTCATTTATGCATTTTGTGTACAGATAGCTGCAAAGTATTCAGCATTCATTTTCCTACCTAATAAAACTGCTTTTCATACATATTTTTATCTCTGCTTCAAAATACCTGAAAATCTAGCAACAGTTTTCATCAACTGACAGATTTTTGTTTTCCAGGTAGCTTATTCCCAAACAACCCATTTATCTCTTTATACCTGCTTTAATGTTGTACTTTGTATTGATTTTCTGATTGCCTCTTATGGTTACCAGGTGTAAACCTGTGTAAATGATTACACCCCTGCTGTTAAGAGCTGCTGGTGTAAATCACCTAAGTACCTTCTTTATTGAATCCCTTTTATCCCTTACCAGGGAGCAGAGCTGCTGAGAGATGCTTCACTGGGTGTTCATTTCAGGGTCCACCTGATGCAAATGATTGTTTTGAGGGAACCAGAGGTAGGCAGAAAAGACTCTTCAAGTCTTATCCAACAGTTTCCAGCTCCAAGGGTTGGTAAAAGCTGTATGAAATGTGCAGACGTGTGCCTTCACTCTAGATGGGGATCAACATCACAACAAATATCACCTCCTCGCTGATCAGTGTCTGTGAATGGAGCAAGAAAGTCAATCCCCAGAATGACTCTGATCCCCAGCACGCTGATGTTGTCCTCTATGTGACCAGGTACTGCAGCTCCCCTGCCCTGGGAAGGTTGAGTTGGAAAAGTGCAGATAAATTTGGGTGAAATTCTAGACCTAACTTTATTAATTGCAGTGGTTCTTTGCTCTTCCCCCTGTGTCTGTCTCCCTAACCTCAGGTTTGACCTGGAGTTACCTGATGGGAACAAGGAGCTACGTGGAGTGACCCATTTAGGTGGAGTCTGTTCCTCCTTCTGGAGCTGCGTTATTACCCAGGACACAGGTTTTGACCTGGGAGTCACCATAGCCCATGAAATCGGGCACAGGTCAGTGAGCAAAGCCCCAGAGCAGCAAAATGCAGGTGCTGTTTTATCCAAGAAAACCCATTTCCCAATTTAAGGGTTCAGGAGAAAGAAAAGTATCTGCTGGTGTTAACAGTGGGCTTCTTGTTGGTTATTCAGAACTTTCGGGTTGAATTCCTTGTATTCCTGCAAGTTCATTCTTTCTACAAGAAGATAGATATTGGAAACAAGTCTCTGGGCTTCTGCTCCTCGGGACATATGTTTTTTCTGTTGCAGTCTTGGAATTCCCCATGATGGAGAGGGAAATCGCTGCAGTAGCAGCGGCTACATCATGGGTTCAGCAGGAAACCACAACAGTGTTGACCTTACCTGGTCACAGTGTAGCCAGGAAGAATTCCTGGCCTTCGTCAGGTAAGTGAGGGGTTCAGTTCTGTGTACATGTGTGCCTGTATGGGAATATTTCCATGAGCTGGGAGCTCAGGAGAGAGAAGGGATAGACAAGGAATAAAAGGGATGTTCCTTGGAGAATAAGGAACTGTGAATTACTTGAGGTTTGTCTATTTACTTATCGCATGTGTCTTTTGCTGAGGTTAAAACCAGACTTTGCTTCAAGTAACTGGAAATTACTTTGGTCAGTGACTGACATGCCTGGGTCATGTTTGACTCTGCAGATACTAGCTCAGCTGGGAAAATTTACTTAAAATGTTAGGGCATCTGGGTTTAAATAAGCACTGTGAACTGGCTGGCTGAGAAACAGGCCTGGGTTTCTGCTGTAACCTCAGCAGAAGGAACTGGGAGCATCTGCAGGCAGTGACATTTTTAGCTGCAGCAGCTAAATCCATCACAGCGCCCTGTCAGCATGTGTTGTCTGGGAAAGCAACAACCCACTCCCAGAATGAAGCTCAGCAGAAGTTTACAAACATGTCACTGTACTTATTGCCCGCAGCTGGGGAGGTTGTATCTTTGTGTCTCTATCAGCACAGGCCAAACAAACTGCTTGAACGACCTGCCGGACATGGAGGGCGGCATCCCTGGGTGGAAGCCTGGTTTGTACTATGGAGCGGATGAGCAGTGTAAAATCGCCTTTGGGAACGTCGCCTCGGCGTGCACCTTTGCTGACAGCAATGTTGTAGGTAGAAAGTGTCTGTCAGTATTTCTGGGGTCAGTGGGGAGATGCTCTGGAGATAAGTCACCTCTCCCTGAATCCTAATATAAAGAGACTGAAGGTGTTCTTCTGCCTCAGACTTTGTGGTAAAGAACAAACCAAAAGGCTTTTAAAATGCTCTCCTCTGTGCCACCGTTTCCTCCTTTGTCCACATAATTCTCGTTTAAGGTTTGGACCATGATTGTAACCAAAATCTCTTGTCCCAACGTGGGTCTGGCAGCACTAGTTCTCTGTGCGCTTATTCAGGCAAGTCCTGGGTCCTCTCTTGGGAAGCTCTTGTTTGTTGGAGCTTCCAGTCTTCCCTCCACCTTTGCAAGTCTGAGGAATGTAGTATGGCTGATAGTTGCTATCTGGATATGCTTGTTAATGGGGAAGCTCTGATCTGGATGAAACTTCAGCTGCTTAAATTGATCCATTTTTAAAGTTACATCCGGCAAAGCTGGCCTTTTGCGAGCCTCACAAATCTTGCCCAACAGCAGGAGAAATTAAGGAACTTGCCACATTGTTGGGAAGCTGTGGGGAAACCAGATGTTCAGGTTGTGCAAAATTTAAATGAAACGGCTTTTGGGCCTGGGGTTAATGAGCCCAAATGACTTCCTGAATACCTTTTTCCTTGCCACACCAGGACATATGTAAGGTTCTCTCATGCCACGTGCAACCAGGAGACAAATCCAGCTGCACTCGGCTTCTTGTTCCCCTCCTGGATGGTACCGAGTGTGGAATCAACAAGGTAAGGAGGCTGCTGATGCTCTGAGGATCAGAAATGGGCATGGGGGCTATGGAGCTCATTAGCTAGCAAGCTGTAGTCAGTAGCTGGAGGGTACCTGGGCCTCATTGGTCCTTGGCCATGAAATTAAGGCCAGGCACTCGAGGCACAAACTGATACCAGCTGATCTTGATGTTCGTTTTGTCTACATCTCTGAAGTTGCTTTGCAGTCCCACAGCCTGATACCTAAGGCATCCTTCAAGGCTGTGCTTTCAACTTGAGATGACTTATCAGTTCTTTGTTTTAACTGAAAGCCCATGTTAGGTCCTAACTAAGCATAGGACTGTTTTCTTCTAACCACCTGTGAGAAAGTAGCTCACTCATCCTGGCTTCCCTGTTGCAGTCTGGAGGTGGGGATTTGTGCAGTAACCCTGCTGTGCTCATCGTGGTGCTGCTGCTCATTCTGTGTATTCTTGGTCGTAGTGGTGCTCCAAGGGCCGGTGCAGCTCTCTGGAAGAGCTGAACCCCCTGTCTGTCGTGCATGGGCAGTGGTCCAGCTGGAGCCCCTTCTCCTCCTGCTCTCGCAGCTGTGGAGGGGGAGTGGTAACGAGGCAGCGGTTTTGCAACAACCCCAGGTAAAGAAGTGGGGATATGGGGAGTTTGCAAGGCTTCTAGGCTAAGGGAGTGTTGCTCTTTGCTTGTGAAGGACCAGCCTCTGTGGAGCTCTTTTCTTATTGCTTCCAGGCCTGCTTTTGGGGGGCAAGAATGCCAAGGACCTGGCATCCAAGTGGAGATGTGCAATACCCAGGTAGTGGTGCTAATTATGTCTTCTGAGCTTTCTGCTTAATGCATGCTAACCCTTTGAGAGCTGTGAGCTTCTGGGCCCTGCTTGTCACAGCTGATTGCTCTAGAAAGATCTAAGATTTTGGCTCTAAAAACAACAGTGTTTTTAACAGTATTTTCCATGTGTAATGAAGAATTTTCTGTATGAGTCTCTAGTAGGACAGGCAGTGAGCAGAGTGACTCTAATGTTAGCTTGCTTTAAAGAGGTGTTTTTGTGTTGTTTCTGTTCTTCTAAGTCCTTTTATTTTATATAAGTATTAAAGATAAAAGCTTCTGAAGAGAATTCTCTGCATATCATGCAGCTTCACTTTGATCTGATGGTCTTTATTTTCAATAGTTCTGCAGGTGTTTTCTTTACCAACCATTCTGTGCTGCTCCAGAGCTGGCTGCCTTTAGCTAGGGTATGAGGTGGTACTTGGGATTCTGTGCTCAGTAACTTCTCTGAAAAAAAAAAATGTGCCTTTTTCACTGGGGTGCAGGCCTGTCTGATGAGCCAGCTGGACTTCATGGCTGAGCAATGTGCAGCAACAAATTCAAAGCCTTTGGCTGTCACCGCAGGAGCGCCATCCTTTTATACCTGGACGACTTCTGTTGGATTTGCCAAAGGTAAGGAGAGACTGAGAGTGTGGGTCTTTGTGTGGCAGGGTGTTCTGTGGCTTTGTTTGTACTGTAAAATCAAAAGGCTTTTTTGCTGTTTTCAATTTCTACTCAATTTTCAATTACTACTTGTTGAGTGGACAATGTGTCTGAATGAGTAATTCCTGTCTCTTCGTATCTGCCTCCTCCAGGGGACTTGCTATGCAAGCACGTGTGCAGAGCAGTGGGAAAAGAATTCATGGTAAGCCGTGCAGCTAGTTTCATAGATGGAACCAGATGTGAGCAGGATGACCCTGAACACCATGGGACTTTCCATCTGTGTGTCGTGGGAAGCTGCAAAGTAAGTGACTACTGGCCCTGGGTGAACCTCAGACTTGTCACCTGTACAAGAGAAGTCAATATCTAGGAGCAAGGGAAGAAACGTGCTGTGTCCCAAACAGAAGAGCAAGCTCTCCTCAAAAGAGGAGTTTTGTGTTTTTTAGCTTATTGGAAGTAGTCCAGCTAACCTAGTGTGCTGTCTGTGCGTCCAGTGCCAATGCCCTCTAGATAAGATATTCTGCTAATTGCACAGTACGTACAGGAGGCTGTTCATCCCTAATCCATGCCACAATTGCTCTGTGCTTTGGTTGAAGAGACATCAGTAGCAGTTCTGCTTATGTAGTGTAAATAGCCCCGGGAAATGCTGATTCTTCTGGAGAGCGGTTACACGATGTGAATGTATTGTCAGTGACAAAATAAGGAGTAAAACTTGGGAACTGTACCTCCCCAAGTTGATTTGATTTGTTGGAATCGCTCTCAAAATGGAAGTGTAACAATTGTTCTAAGTTTTGACAAGAGAAAAGTATTCTTTCATGATGAACTTGATTTTCAGTACCTGTAATTTAATAAAGGCTCAGTGCTGAACCCCATTGCCTTTTGCCTTTTGTTTCTTTAGGTTCCCAGAATAGAGTTAAATTTTGTGGATTTCTGATTCTTCAAGTGTTCATAGTGCTTGGTAATGCATTTCCAGCAAGTGAACAGCAGAGGGTGTGGGTAAAGCAGTCTAACCCCTTGGAGTGAGGATTGAATCTTTTTTTTTTTTTTTTTTTTTCCCTGAGGGTATTCACGGCCCTGTTCTGGACTGCTTCTTTTGGGGAAATACATAAGCATACAATTAATGAGAACTTGTGTACTCTGCTAAGACTTTTTAGTCCCTAGTTTTGTGTACTGCTCTTCAATGGTAGAATTGGACACACATGTAAGTGTCTTCTTCCTACAAATGAAGAGGGCAGTTTAAGGAATTCAGGCAGTTTTGCTTTGATGTACTTGTTTTCTTCTCAAATAGGCAAGTCTTGACAAACTCTCTCCTTTGCTCAGGTATTCGGGTGTGATGGTCAGATGGACTCCAAGAAGACAATGGACTCTTGTAAGGTCTGTGGGGGTGATAATACCACATGCACCAAAGTGAGTGGATCTTATGCAGAAGGAAAAGCTAAAGGTGTGTAGCCCTCAGCCCCAGGCTTGATATTATGATGCTGTTTGTAGAAGATGCTGCTGCATTTGGTACAGATCTAGCTCTTGCAGTGATCACACCTAATTAGCAGGAGAGGACATAGCAAAAACAAAAGAAATATGAAAAACAGGGCAGGGGATTCATTTAATACATTTAAAATACATTAAAAATACATTTTTGGGAGTGGAATTCACCCACACTTTGATCAGGCCAAGCTGATAGAGCTAAGGTCAGGGTGAATTTAGCCTGATGGGCATCACTACTACATCCACGCGTTTTTGATTAGCTCTTTTTGATTCTGCTTGCAATTAAGCTCTGTTACTGTCCAATAAGGCTTGTCCTCTGATGGGTGGTATGCCGACAAGGTGAAATAGGGATGCTCTGTAATGCCCATCTTTTTAATAGATGCCAAGCAAAAGAAGGTGACTGGATCTTATTTCTAACCTTCCAGAGTACGTCACTTTTCTGTCCCTGCCTTACAACAGTACCTTCATCCGTGTTATCAATCGGAAACCCCTCTTCACACATTTGGGTGAGTTGAGTGAAAAGGAGAGGAGAGGCTCCAGGCAGTGCTAAGACATGCACTAAAAACGAGAGAAAAGGGTATGTGGGAGGAAAGTGCTTGATGATCGCTTTGTGGGATGCTCTCGGGTGGGAGCTGGTAGAAGCCATGCTTTTTGGGATGTCTAATATAGATCAGACCAGTTTCTAGGGAGTCTAGAGCTGCCAACACGAGGGGATTCTTTGAGCACATCATATCTCTTTACCTCACTGCTCTTTTTGCTCTCCTAGCTGTGAAAGTTAAAGGCGAGTATGTGGTTGCTGGAAAGGGAAAGATCTCATTGAATGTCACCTATCCGTCTGCTCTGGAGGACAGCCAGATCAAATACAAAGTGTTTCTCACCAAGGGCAACTTGCCAAGCCTCGAAGAAGTCCATGTGGACGGGCCAACCCAAGAGGAAATTGAGATACAGGTAAATTAACATTTAAAGGAGTCAGATTTGACCAGATTGTCTTCACATATGTGGCTCTGTTGCAGAGCAGAAGGTTTCATGTCCGAGAGCACTGGAGATGATGATCATTACCCTTGGTGAACACTATCTTGGGACAGGTTGAGGTTGTGCTACATACAGCCTTTCTGCGGGCCTGGGTAATGGATGGGATAAAGATGCGCTGAGTTAGATCTCTTGCTTGGCTTGATCTTTGAGTGCTCTGTACACAGAGCTCACAGGCTCAGTATTCTCACTGCATCTGGGAAGGGCTGAGAGTCACAGCTCTGAGGCTCAGGACTGAATGGAAGAGGAGTCCAGCTTCCCTTCTAAGCTCTGTCTCTAGTTATAGGGGTCTGTGTGTTGATTGCATCCTTTTCCTTCACCAGGTCTATAGAAGATATGCAAAAGAATATGGCAATGCCACCAATCCAGACATCACCTTCAGCTACTTTGTGCCAAAAGAGGACCCATCGTATGTGTGGATTCCTCAGAAGGGGCAATGCTCTGTGACCTGTGGGGAAGGTGAGGTCAGCAACCTCCTCTGTCAAACACCAAGCCCAGCAATAGGGCTCTTGAACAAGTGATGATAGATAACCTATTGTCAAAATGGAAAGATGACTCCAAACTAGTCGTTTGTGAAAGGCAGCAAGGTTATCCATCAAATACCTTCTCTTCTGAGATGTTCATCTAGGAGACTCACCTTAAAACACGTGAAGAAAGCTATGCTAGAAATATGGTTTTTGTGTGCTTGTAGAAAGCCTGCATTCCCAAATATACCAAACTTTCTATGTGGATAATTAGGTTAAGGGCAGTTACAGCATCTTCCTGGAATAATAGAGGCCAACTGTTTACTTGATTTAGAACATCCTTTCCCTTTGATTGCACTTCCATTCCTAGGGACTCGCCTGGTGGATCACGTGTGCTTTGACCAGACAAAGAATGAAACAACAGAGGATCAGCAGTGTCTGGGGCTCCCACAGCCCCACTCAGAGCAGGAGCCCTGTGCCATGGGACCGTGTCCATGTCTGTACAGGTCAGTGTCCCGCAGTGATTAGACTTGAATCTCCTTTCACTCTGGAAAACAGTAGCTCTTGCCCTTTCTCTGCCAGCTCATCCAATTTCTGCAGTATAGTTCGCACTATGCAGGATGGAAAAAAGGGTGTGTGTCTGACTCTTCTTAATTACAATAATTTTTACATGTCATTTTGTAGTCAATAATATGAATAATAAACCTCCACGGTTTAGGTGAGATATTGGCTGATCCAATTACTTCCTTTTTAGGTGGAAGAAATCTGAAAGAGATGAGTGCTCTGCTGTCTGTGGAACTGGAGTTGCTCAGCAGAACCTGACCTGTGTTCAGTCTTGTGATGCATTGGAGACTGTCGTGGACCACAGCTTGTGTGCAGCAGAAGAAAAACCCCTCTCTGTTGTGCCGTGCGTGGTTAATGTCTGCCCTTTAGGCTGGGACAAAGTGAGTCTTTTGGCTTGGGTTAGATTAGGTCCAGACGGAGAAGCAGTTGCCATTGTGTGTTTGGTTCTTGTTGCTCTCTCCTGAGGAGGAAGACACACGCTTGCTGCAGCCTTTGGAGTCGTTTGGGCATATCCAGCTGGAAAATCAGCCTGTGTATGTCTGGAGCCCTCTGTCTGGAGAGTGTTCTGTCTCCTGTGGTCAAGGTGAGGTCTTTCAATGCTGCAGGAAAATGTTACTTGGCTGTGCGTGAGCCTAGAAAGCTGGTTAAGAACCCAGTCCTTCCCCTCTGTGGATGTAAGGGTATATGTAGCTGTGGTCACAAATCTGTTGAGTCTCAAAGAGACAGAAATGTCTGGCCCAAGATAGGGAATAGGTCAAGTCTGGCTGTGGCCTGCTGTGATCCAGAGTTGGGGGGAATGAGTGGAATGAAGATGCTAGAGGGTTGAGTGCTTTGTGCGTGCAGACGAGGCTGGCACTACTTCTGTCACACTTGTTTTTGTGTGCCATACAGTAAGAGCACTTTTTTTTTAGGTACAACTCGGCTACAATACGTATGTGTGGCATTTGACACCAAAGGAGAAACGCAAGAAGAAAAATGTCACCCAGTGGCAAAGCCAGAGAGCAGGATAGAAGTTTGCAATGCTCATCCCTGCCCACCAAGGTAAAGGAATTAGAGGGAAGGAATCTGGGATGACTGCTGTGAGAATTAAGACAGCCAGGTGCATGTTCCTTAGGATTTATGGGCAGTTACTGGAGTGACTGAGCAATCTTTCAAACGCTATCCAGTGCGTATGTGTGTATTGACAAAATTGTGGGTGTACTTCCATAGACTTGTCCTTAAAATCCATGGAAAACAGGGATGATGGCTGGAAGTACTTGCTGATGGATGCCTTATTTGTAGGTGGCAGTACAAAATGGGCGCGTGCAGTGTCAGCTGTGGAGGAGGAGTGATGCACAAGGTCCTCTACTGCGCGAGGGAGACGGGGGACAAGGAGGAAGAGGTGGTAGCAGATGCCCAGTGCGATGCTTTGCCTCGCCCGGAGGAGCAGGAGCCGTGTCATTTGGAGCCGTGTCCTCCAAGGTCAAAATGGTCACAGCGGCATGTGTGAGGAAGTGTGGTTGTAAATATGGTGATGGTAAATATGCAGGAAGGGGCCTGGGTCTTAGCGTTCCCTTCAGACAGGAGCACAAGTTTTGTCTCCCAATGGGAAGTGGATCATGTCCCAGTAACCTAAAAGTGGAATTAATTTGCCTGGTTCAGGGTTGAGAAATGGGGCAGAACTTGCCCTGTCTTGTTTGCCATGAGGCTTGAAAGCTGCTGTCATCTGAACTCCTTTTACATGGTACAGATGTGGTCTCAGGATAGAATAACCCCAGGGCGGTTTCTAATCTGCTTCTTCCAGAATGCTATGTATTTTGGAGGGAGCTAAAATTGCTGTTGCTGTTAAACCTGTTTATATCACTCTGGGGAAAACCATAATGGATTTATAGTAAGACTCAATGTACATTTGCAGTCTTTGGGCTTCCTGGAAAATGTGCATACCTTCCTCTTGGGTCCAGTTCCAGGCCTTTTCAGACTGCCTGACCTTGCCTCGGAGTCTGCTCTGCAAGTACCACAGGCAGCAAAGTGTGGAAGGGGGAAGGAAGCTGCTGAGAGCAGGGAAGGAGGGAAGGACGAGGGAGCCACAGGACATCCTCTGCGGTGAGAGGCAGTCAAGAGAAGGGAATCATCCCTTACTCATTTTTCTTCTCCCTCTTGTCCTCTGTCAGGTGGAAGGCAGCCCCAGTTGGCCCCTGTTCCTCCACCTGTGGACCTGGCTTAGCTGTTCAGCAGGTGACCTGTGTTCAGATGCACCAAGGCCAGGAGATGCTGTTGGAAGATCACTTATGTCCGGCGTCGGAGAAGCCCCTTACCAGCATCCCCTGTGTCATCCGAATGTGCTCCTATGAGTGGGGCTTCAGTGAATGGACAGAGGTATTGGCCCTTGTCCACGTGCAATTCTGGGCGTCCAGCACAGCAGTTCAGTAGCCATTTGCTCTCATAAATGATACAAGGGAGAAGCACTACTTCTCTAATCCCATGTGCTGATACATAGAGGGCTTCCCCTGGGAACGAGGGCCAGCTTTGTTATTTCCATCTTAGAGCTGAAAAGACTAGACCACAGAGAGGCCAAGTGACAAGATGGCATCGGTGATAGAAGATTAGACACTTTGAATCATGCCTGAGCCAATAAATGAACTTATTTTTGCATACTAAGTAAAACATAAAAAAGCCTGTGGGTTTCTTCCTCTGCAGTGCTCAACTTCATGTGGGAATGGTGTTCAGACCCGTCAGGATTTCTGCATCAACCCGCTGACCCGTAAGCGTGTGAGCCCCGTCTTCTGCAGGCACTTCCCCAAGTCCATCGTGCTGCGTGGCTGCTCCGCGGGGCCCTGCCCCGAGCAAGCCGTGGTGGCCAAGCCCCACGGAGCAGAGCTGCACGCCGTGACACCAGCCGCACGTCCGGCCACTGCCGTAACTGCCACGCGGGCAGGATATAAGGGCCTAGATCTTCTTCCGTCTCCTCTGCCGCCTCTTCCTCAGGAACCAACAGAGGAGAGTGGTGGAGGTGAGAAGGATGCTACTAAACAGAATTAGGAGGCCACTGCGTGTGGCGGTGTTGCACTGACCCTGCTGCATGCTGTTCGTGGTGCCATGAGGGGAGCAGGGCCGTGTTTGAGCAGCTGTAGGTCTTTCTGGATGTGTTCCTTGTCTGTCTCTGTTGCGCAGATGTCTGTGGGAAGCTCTTACTTAAAGCCACCGGCATCATCAACATGACGGGTGTGGAGAGCAGGGACTGCACGGTGACCGTTGGCCGTCCTCTCGGGGAGGAGATAACAGTCAGCGTTCTGGAGAGCTCCCTCAACTGCACTGCAGGTGCTGGGCATTTTTCCTTTGGGAAATCTGCCCCTCATCCCCCATGTGCTGCCCTGAATGGATCTTGCTGCCTCGGATCCTGTGTGATGTCTCTGAGATGCCACGAACTTCTTCTGTCCCACCAAGTCTTTTTTGGGGAAGACTAAACTAAAATTGGACTTCTTTAATCTCATATCTATCAACAAAATAAAGGAGTTTATGGGCTTAAAGGAGCTGCCCATTATGGGTTGCTATAAACTGTCTGTAACGCATCCTTTTGCTGGAATCAGAAGTTACGTTGGTTAACTGGACTGTTTTCCTTACAGACTTTGATACGATAGGGACAAGAAGCAGACATTACTAGATTCCTGACCTGTGTAAAATAGACTAATCTCTGACCTAAATTATTTAAGACTTCAGACTAAGTTATTGAATTTAAAGTAAAAGTGAGCCTAGTCTCTGTTCCTCTCCATTCCAGGTGAGTTCCTGCTGTTTTCTGGGCGCATGATGTGGCGGAAGGGCTGCAGGAAGCTCCCCTTGTCACTGATCAATTCCAGAACAAATACCCTGCTTGTGAAACAGAGGCTTTTGATGCCAGGGAACGGAGTCATTCTTCAGTACAGCAGCAGAGTGGCAACTAAAAAATATTACCAAGGTACCTTTCTAAAATCGTCACTATTCTTTGGATTGAGGGACTCATGATGAGGCCCTTAGAGTTCTTCAGGTCATGGCTGTCCGTGGGAATGTATGGAAGCTTTACTTCATCTCTAGGTGCTCATTACCCATTTTTAGAGGAGTGCTGGAATGAATATTATTTGTGGACTATCCACCCATTTTAAGGACAAACCCTTTTGTAGAGTTTGCTGGTGCTTGGAGGTCCTCAGATGAAAAGTCTTAAGGAAATTTTTACGAATGTGTTAAATTTAAAACTTTTTTTCCTTGGAGATGCTAGGAACTTCCTAAAGCATCTTCTCTCCTGCTCCCCTTTCTTTCTCTCAGACTGTGACAAGCAGCTGTTTGGTCCCCAAGGTGAAATAGTTTATCCTGTGCAGTCCTCTGGTCAAAGGCAAGGCGTGTGTCGGACCTTCATCAACGTGGCCCCTCGGCACCGCGTCGCCATCCACGCCCTGTACATTGACCTGGGCCATGACAGCAACCAAACGCAGTCGAACTATGTCCTGGTGAGTCAGAAGCCTAAAGAAGAGCATGAAGATCTCTAACCATGAGATTTTCATCCAGATAGAGAGTTAAAAGTATATCAAAAATCCTAGGGAGTCGGATTCTGATCTCTTCTGCAAATGCAGTTATGAATACAGAAGACATCGGGATACTCAGTTACTTTTTCTAAGCTATATTTAGGGCAGCTTTTTCCCCAAGTGACCAATTGGCAAGACCCTAATGTTTGGTGGGTGCAGGACTTGTAGGGTGCTATGAAATAATGATATTTATTTTTATTCAGATCCGTGATGTAAACACCATGAAGATGATGGTTTTTCATGGAAAACAACAGTTCTTCTGGGAATCAACTGGAAGCCAAGTTGAAATTGAATTTCATGAAAACGTTAAGGAACACAGAACGGGTTTCTGGGCTGAATATCATGTTGCTAAGCCCAAATAACAAGTGCCAGGACCACTTCAAGTGGAACAAGTTAGTTATTGCTGCCCTATCATGCAAGTCATTCAAGCCCTTTGCCTTTGCTTCCCTAAATACTGAGTGAAAACAGTAATATATACCCAAGCCTTTGGGGTGTCAGTTAATATTTATAAACTTAATGCCAAAGACATTATGTAACTACCAAACATTTAGTAAATAACCCTCAGGGGCTTTCTGTCTGTATAGAATGGTATTAATACAGTTAGTGACTTGGACACTAAGTCCTAGGGTTGATCACTTGTTTTCAGTGTCCCATCACAAGCCTCTCTTATGCCATAAGCAGCTAAGATTATGATTTAATCATTAAGCTCACACTCCTGAAGTGTAAATGCCCCTTAGAAGTCCCCAGGTCTGTTTTACACATCAATTCATGTGTGAGGACAGAGACCTACCTGAGAATAGGATATTAGGATGGAAGGACTAGACAAATGCATGAGGGCAAAACAGTTTCTTTGCAACCACTTCTGTGGTGTTGCTACTACTTATTTGACAGTGACACAAGTACTTCTTTCCCCTGAGAAAATAAAACACTATGAGAAAATATCTGTTTCTTAACAGTGAACTTGGTGCCGAGATGTATTTAGTCAGATAGCAACAGTAGCTGTGCTAATAATCTGCTCAAATCTTCACTTCACAGGAACTGTGCAGTGAGAGATTGTTGAGGCTGCATGTGACTATGAGTTGTAGCAAGAAGGAATGTTTTAGAGAAGTAACAAATATTTTCTCAAGTTTGGTTTAATCATATATGTAGTGCATATATAGATATAAATATCTTGAACATTTTCAGAAGTGTCTTCCTGCTTTGGTCCAGGTTTGTTGTAACATGCTGCTAAAGAAGTCTTTTCCAGGCCTGGAACTTGACTGGACACCCCTGTTCTTCCAGTCCCTCCTTTTATCTCAAAGGCAGAACTTCTAAGAGTTTTCATGTTAAATTCATGTTCACTTTAAACTTCACGTTTCCCTTTCTCCCTAGCATGTGCTGGCTGTGTGGGTAACTACGCAACCCACCAGTGGTTGGATAGGAGCAGTAGGAGCTGGAGCTGCAGGTTTCTGCTCCCAGCTCTACTGCTGACTTGTCTCTGTGCCCTTAGACAAACCAGCAGCTCAGCACTAGAAGTAAAAGGGAGTGAAGATGGGTAAGAGAAAAACACAATGTGCTGCCCCAGGCCGTGGAGCTGGGCTGTTCAGGCCACAACAGTGGCTTTAAGGAGCGAGTCTCACGCTGTGTCCCCGTGTGCTTTGGTGGACGTGACGCAGTGCTCCGAGCTGCTGGCGCCCGGTTCCCGTGTTGGGGCTTGCACAGGGCCGCCCGTGCAGCCACCCCTGCAGCTGCAAGGAGATTCCGGCGCAGCAGCTGCAAGGAGACATCGGAGCAGCAGCTTCCTTGTGCATTCCCAGAGCGGCCGCCTGCCTCCGTCCCCGCGTGGAGCCCGCGGGCGCCCCGCGCGTCCCCGCGGCCCTGATGAATATGCAGGCGCGGGGCCCTGCCTCTCGGTGCGGTGACATCAGGGCGCTGCGTGCTGGAGGAGGGGACCCACAATGCAGCACGCGGGCAGACGTGGAGACTGCTCCGGGCCGCTGGCATCGCCGCTGCACGGCCTCCATTGTCACCCCGCATGGGGTGGCTTTAGGGGCCGTGCCGGAACGGGGGACACGGGCAGGGGGTGTCACCCGGCGGGGCCTCCTGTGCGGCTGGGTGCTGTCCCCTGAGCCCCCAGGACCATGAGCGCGCAGGACGAGCAGTCCCAGGCAGCGGCCCCCGCGGCCGCGCCGGCTGACGATGGCATGACCTGGTGGTACAGGTGGCTCTGCAGGATGGCCGGGCTCCTCGGGGGCGTGTGTGAGTATCCCCTTCCCTTGCTCTGCCTGTGCTTGCCAAATCATACACCAGTTTTCACGTCTGCCTGTCCTTAAGGTCGTATATATGGGCAGGGGGCACAGAGGGACGGCTTGGGGCTGGATTACACTTGGGTGCAGGCTGTGAAGGTGCAGGGTAAGGAAGGGAGCTGGGGTGGTTTTAGGTGCACGCAAGGGACGTGCTTTAGGCTCACTGAACTTTGGCACCCGGGAGAAGGGCTGTCCCTGTGGAGCATCTGCTCATCCTGGGGTTTCTTCCTGGGTAAAACAGTCACTGGATGCGATGGGGCAGGGGCCAGACCCTGTCCCCGTGGAGGGCTGCAGCAGATGAACTCGATGATGGGTTTTTGGGGGAGCAGCAGGGTCAGGAGCAGAGCTTGAACAGAGACCACAGGGTTCAATTCATCATATTTGTCTATCAGCACTCCTGCAACATATTTGCTTTCCCTTTTCTGAACAGTAGAATGTACTTTTTGCTATTGCTGTTGTTAAAGGCAGGAGGCCTTGCTGTATTTCTTGGAGGAGGAGGATGAACTTTGTGTACGTGCTGTGTGTTTTCAGGGAGGTTGGTGCTGGGCCAGTCAGCACCTGAAGTACCTGCCACCGACATTCCTTTTCTCAGGGAAAACCTTTGCAAGGTTGCCAGGAATGAGCTTGTCCTATGCTGCTGTTCTGCAATGAGGTTAATGGCTCTTAAAAGCAGGAGGGACCCTTAGGCCCACTTAGTCTGACCTCCTGCAGAGCACGGGGGAGAATTTCTTGTGTTCCAGGTCCGTGACTCCTGCTAGGAGAAGCAGAAGTATCTCAGCCAGTTCAGCCCGTCCTGATTTATTCCCTTTGCGGTGGCAATTCCTTGGATCCCACTCTCTTCCTCCCCCTTTCCACACCTGGGACTCACCAGCACAAGGCCATGGTGTTTACATGCTGGCAAAACAGACCCTGCTCTCGCTGCCTTGAGCTTTAGCTGCTGCAACCCCAGAGGCGTCACAGGATTTCTTAGGACTGCTCCTAAGGGGTGAAACTTGCCCTGTTCCCCCATGCTCGGCCCAGGCCCCTGTGCTCCTGGCGTGGCCGGGGGCCAAGGCGGCAGCTGCAGCAGCTCCAGGGATTTGTGTCGCTGCCTCTTTCCCACGGCCTGCGGCTCTAGCGGGGCCTTGGCCCCTCTTCTGCAGCTCTAACCCATGTGTGGCCTAGAGGGATGTTGTTGAAACTCCGAGATGGAGGGTGAAGAGCTGGAGAGGGTGGCTGGTAGGTCGCACCATTAACCTCGAGTGCTAAAACAGCTCAAGAGTGGCTTAAAATCAGTGCAATTCTTCAAAAACATATATTTTTCCCCTGCTATCTTCAGGTTTATAAGCAGCTGAGTTATATTTGGATTATTTTCCCAGCTTTTGTTCACAGCTTTGAGAACTCTTGACTTTTTTCAAAGGAAAGCTGAGAGTTTAGCGTGGTGGAGCGAGTCTGGGGGAAGGAACTTTCGGAGGGAAGAACCAGATTCTTCACCGTGATTCGGAAAGCCGGACAACTTGCTCGGCAGCCCTGGCAATCTCCTCTCAGGAGGCTGTGAGGCAGAGAGCTGCCCAGCTTGAGATGTCTGTAGCCTACAACATGCTTGGGATAGAAAACTCCAAGGGCTGGAGCAGGGGACAAGGTGGCCAAGGTTGGAGACCTCTTTGGACTCTTGCTTATGTGGGCTTTGTGGCCTTGGCCAAGTCCCTTTTCCTCCTTGAGTTCCCTTCTGTAAAAGGATGGTGAGATTCCCTGGCTTTTGTAAAAACACTTCAGGAGCAAAACCAGAGTTATACTGAGCAAACAGCTGCCTGATGCCTAAAGTCTCAGGACAGTAGTCAAACAGCAAAAGTGTCCGTCCTCTGTAGCTCACGTACCATCAAACACTGTTGGAGTTTTAAACCTTTTCTGAGGTCTCTGCAATGCAAAAATAAAACAAAAGGGAAGTCCCTGGACTGTCAGCTGGGGTCCCTTTCAGCTCCCACTGCAGGAGCTGATCCCGTCCTCATGGGACAAGGTTGTGCCAGGCTGCTGGGGGAAGGAGACTGAAGGTCACCAGTGGTTATCTCTGTGGCTGTTGGCAGCTGCCGCAGTGCTCTGTGTTTATAAACCTCTGCCTCCCTTCCTGCTGCTGGGCTCTGCGCCCCGCCTGCTGACGTGGGGTTTTGCTCAGCTGAGTCTTGCTGGGTCATTAGTCCCTTGGTAAATGGGCTTTTTGGTGGGAATCCCGCAAGGATATTTAGTGGTCAAGAATGGTTGGGTGGTGTTTTGAGGCCAAGCCAAAACCAAAGACAAAACAAAACTTTGACTAGATTTTTTTTTTTTAATTATTTTTTTTTTAAGTATTATGTTGCCTAGGTGCCTGCTTGGGAAATGTCACTCTGTCCCCCCATGTTTGCTCTGTTGCTCTCAGCCTTTCTGCCCATAACGCGCTGCCAAGGAAGGCAGCAAATTGCCCCAGAGGTGGCTGCGTTTCAGGGCTGGTTTTACTACTCTGCTAATTAAATAACCTCGGCTTGCTGTTCCCTAAAACCAGGATGCTACTGGCTTGGGAGGTGACTTTAGACTGCACCTACTGTAGGCACTAAATCACGCAGTGCGAGAATGGAGCCAATAATACACAGCAGAGCTCTGTTATTGCACCGCATGGCTGTTTGCCGCGGCCGGAGCCGCTCCTGGTGCCTCCCTGCCTCCTCCCGGCTTGAATTCCCGTAGTGCCGCAGCCAGTTGCTCTGCACGGAGGAGGACAAGGCCCCGTATCAAGTGCAGGGAACGTTTTGCAAGTTTAATGAGATGGGAAGTAGGTGCCTGTGGCCTTGGCGTGGAGGCAGCCAGCGGGTTCCTCTTCTTCATTATGGATTCAGAAGCGCTGGAGCTATTTCAGGCCTGGCTTTATCCAGCATCCGCTTACGTTGCTGCTAGAGGAGACCCCAAACCAGCTCTGGGTTCTGCCCTGAGTTGGGCAGAACCTGCAGCGGGTGGTTGAGAGCTGAGTTTGCTTTGCTTTGCTCCGTGCTGCAGGTGGGTTTTTCTCCAAACTCTTTCCTTGTGGAGGTGCTCACCAACACCTCCTTGTTCATCGTGGCACAAACCAGTAATTCCTTAGAGTGCCACTTATTGCATATAAAAGCAATAGCAAATCAGCACAGGAGGGTGAAACAGTGCTGGGTGCTGGAGCTGGGAGAGGGGGGACAATCCTGTCCAACGGGCCAAGGTCCCTGAGCCCAGAGCATCTGCAGGGACTCGTCTCCTTGGCCACTCCAAACCTCTTTGCTTTCCAGCCTGTGCCTTCGCTGGCCTCTGGAATTGTGTCACCATCAACCCCCTGAACATAGCCGCCGGTGTGTGGATGATGTGAGTACAGTTTCCTTTTTTTTTCCCCCTTTTTCCCTGCTTGGAGGGGAGGTTGTGTTCATTAAACACCATTCAGCAAGCGTTTGAGCAGCCCCGTTGAGTAGCAGCTTGGGTGGAACAGGGGAGACCCGTGTGTCACTTGTTACCACCTCAGTCACGAGGCCCCTGAGACACTGGGTTTATTCAATTCATATTCCTACCCGCTTCCCCACCCTTTCCAAGCAGATTTTGGGATGCCCCTACCCAAAACATCCAAAAAAATCCCAAAGTTATGAGTTAGGGAATGAGCAGGATGAGGGGAGTCCCATCGCTTGGGTGTGTGAGCAGGTAGTGGTGGCGGGGGGTGATGGTGGCCATGGAGATGCTGGGGTACCCCTACCCAAAACATCCAAAAACCTCCCAAAATTATGAGCTAGGGAATGAGCGGGATGAGGGTAGCCCCCTTGCTTGGGTGTTAGCAGGCAGTGGTGGTGGGGGATGATGGTGGCCATGCAGATGCTGGGATACCCCTGTCCAAAACGTCCCAAAAAACCCCAAAATTGAGCTAGGGAACAGGCAGCTGTGTCATTCAGGTATGTGAGCAGGTAGTGGTTGAGGGGATGATGGTGGCCATGCAGATCCTGGGATGCCCCTACCCAAAACATCCCAACCCCCCCAAAATTATGAGCTAGGGAACGAGCGGGATGAGGGCAGCCCCATGGCTCATGTGTGTGAGCAGGCAGGGGTGGCGGTGTGTGATGGCGGCCGTGCAGACGCAGGCAGGGGCGGCGGTGCGTGATGGCGGCCGTGCAGACGCAGGCAGGGGTGGCAGGGCCGGCGGCGGCAGTGCCCCGTGCCGACACCGTACCGCCTCACCACAGGCTCAATGCCTTCGTGCTCTTCCTGTGCGAGGCGCCGTTCTGCTGCCAGTTCGTGGAGTTTGCCAACGCGGCGGCCGCCAGGGCGGACAGGCTGCGGCCATGGCAGAAAGCCGCCTTCTACTGCGGGTGAGGTGGCGGTGGCGGCGGGCGCGGACGGCAGCGCGGGCGCCGCTCAGGCCACCTCTCTCTTGCAGCATGGCCGCCGTGCCCGTCATGCTCAGCCTCACGCTCACCACGCTCTTCGGCAATGCCATCGCCTTCGCCACCGGCGTCCTTTACGGCCTCGCGGCCCTCGGCAAAAAGTAAGAGGGGGGCCGCCCGTGGAGGCGGCCGGGGCCGGGCCGGGCACGCGGAACTCAGGCCTGTTCCCTTTGCTCCACAGGGGAGACGCCATTTCCTACGCGCGCATCCAGCAGCAGAAGCAGGTGGATGAGGAGAAGCTGGCGGGCGCCATGGAGGGACAGGCGCTCTGAGGCGCTCCGGCTCTGGGCAGCTTCGCGCTGGGAGGACGCGGAAACCCGCCCTGCCCTCCTCTCCGTGCCGTTACTCTCCTGTTTTCCCATGGACTCTGCAGCAACTGGAATTCTCAGGGCTGGGGCAGGTTGTGCCCGCTGCTCACACCAGCAGCCAGGTCTTTGTGCCTGGCCCCTTCCTCCTCACCCACCTCGAAGCTTGGCCCTGACCCAAATCACTCTCAGCTCCTTTCCTTTATTTATTTGATTTTATTTATTTTTTGCAGAGGTGCTGGCCCCTTTGAGTACTACTTTAACAGCTAAACCTGCAGCCTTTCCTTAGCACAACACTGTTTTGCAAAGGGTGTGATATTCTAATCCGGGGTTTAGCAATACTTGATGATGCTTAAACTTGATCTTCTTTCATTGAATAGGTTTTAATAGGGAGTGAATTAAGCCAGGCCTTGCAGTCATCGCTGCATGGTACGGGACTTCCAGCAAAAACACCCACCTGAGGACATTAACCAGCTCTGTGGAAGAGCTGCAGAAGTTTTGTGGCAGGTCTTGGTACCTACAAAGCACATTCCCCTCCCGCCGCCAACAGCTGCAGGCGGTTGCTGCAATTTACTTGAAACCTATGAATTTTGTCTTAATAACGATCTGTTTCTCATGCTTCACTGTTTTACTGGGGGCAAAGGGAAGTGAGGTTAGCTTGAAGAGGAACGGTAATGTTCTCAGGCCCCTCCGTATGTCCCATAGCGTGTGGGTCCTGCCCTTTGCTTCTCTCAGATTCAGTCTTTTCCTTTGGGCTCGTGTTGTTTTCATTAATCCTGGGCAAGCTTTTGGTGGGTGGGTGACCCATCCTTCCCTTGCAGACACAGAGCAATGGGCACCATTCCAACATGGATGGCAAGTTACAGCCCAGGACACCTTGCTGCTTCATCCAGGTTCTATCCAAGTCCTTTTCGATCAGAAAAGGAAGAATAATTTATTTCTAGTCATTTAAATGCATTGATGAGATTCATTCTGTCTGGACCCAGGAGAGCTGTTTCCTGTAGTTGAGAGGAAAATTTCACTTGTTTCATTTAGCTTTGGGGTCCCCAAACCCAAGGAGAACCTTGGCTGCTCTGACTGAGGTACTATAGAACCCCAGAAACACTTGGGAGTGTTTCCTGACTTTTGGAAAGGCCGTTTCCCTTTTTAGCTCCTTTTTCTCTCTTCTCTTTGGCCACTGGCTTCACAGCAGTTTGTTTTCCCTTCTTCCAGGAGAGAGAAGTGGGGGAAAAAGCAGAGGGTACCTCCTGGGTGTGAGAGTTTGTGCTCACTCCAGTGCTTAGGGCAGTTCGCAGATGCGGTGAGTGCAGTGTCGTGTTGGACACTATATGTGTCCTAAACGTATTTGCATTAGTTGACCGGCACCAAAGCAGCCCTGCAGTGCTGCATAGAGTGTTTCATGTTGTTTCTTTCGTGGAGGCCATGGAAGTGTGAAGATTTACACTGCTCAGGAGCATAGCTTGGGTTTATGCTCATGTACAAACCCTTACAGCTGGAGCTGGGGAACCACTTTGTGCTAAACCTTTTTTCTCCCGGGTCTCTGGGCTGTGGATGCTCTGGCACCAGCTTGCCTGGGACACAGAATAGGCTCCGTTAGCCTTGATGCAGCTTGTTTGAATCAAAGCTCTGCTGTTTCTGAGCCACCAGGTCCAGGCTGATCCATGTTGCTGCATGGAGGAGACGGGTCATTGGCCTTGTGTGCACGGGGACCATGGCCTGAAGCAGCTTGGATGCTTCCTGTGGGAATAGGGTGATGCAGGAGGAATACGCTGCCCTCCCCTCCATGGGACACCTCTGGGATAGGCCCGTAGCAAAGCCCAGGTGGTAACGGCTCTGTGAGCCAGCAGTGCCCCTGGGCAGTATCTTTAGTGGATGGGTAAATTGCAGAGTCCTGCCTAGCGAGCAGGGTGTCTGCATTGATTTCAAGGGGATTTGGGGGTTTTAGTAGTGTTTAGTAGAGGAACTTTGCAGACTGACGCACGTGCATGTCTTTGGTAGTGACCGCTTTGCGCGGTGAGTAGTTCCACGGTAGCTTTAGTGGAAGGGGATGAAGGGCAAAGCAGAGGCAGTAGAATAACCTTAGATCTCCACCCGCAAGGAGGAACCACAGGAATGGGCAGGACCTGTGCTGGCTTCATCCGATTGTCCCTGCTCTGTGGTAGGAGGATGCTCCTGGTTGCATTACAGTGCGGATGGGTCAGCTCTGCTCCATTAGCACCCAAAGCGGAATCCTTTGGCCACCAGCTGTTCAGTCCTGCTGGGTTTTGCCACCGTGGGGAGCGAGGCAAGCTCATAAATGTGCTTCAGCTCCACCACTGTCAGCAGGGTGCAAGGCTCTGCTCTGAGCTCTGGATGTGCTTTGTCACAAATGAGTCTCAAAGTCCTGAGAGAAAGAGCAGAGCTGGCACCGTTGGCCAAAGTGCTAAGGGATACCAGAGCTGCTCGATGGCTGTGTGCCCAACCAGAGATGTTTGGGGTCTGATTCCTGCAGATCCAGCAATACCAGGGCGAGCATGTCTGGATGGGGAATCTCTTGGGAACTTTGTATCATGGTTGGAACTAAGCCAGCTGCTGCCGTCGTTGCAGATGCGGCCTGGTGAAGGAAGCATCTTTCTAGCAGAGCGTTCTACATCCAACTGATAGTTAATGAATGGTCTCAGCCCAATGTGGACAGTAGACTCTTTTTGAGGAGTGAGATAAGACTTTTAGAGTAGTAATATCACAGTAGTGAATAGGCCCCTTCTCAGTGCATGGTGGTTAGTGATTGTGTTTAGAGGCACCTTGTGGTGCTTGGAGGTTTACAGGAATAAATGAAGTTAATAGCCCTGCTCTAGTGATTTTTAGTCTCAACCCAATCCCAGCTCATGGTGTTTGGGCCAATCTAAGGGGTCTTTACAGAAGAGGTTCTGCTTGCCAGGTTGTGGGAAGGCCTCTTGGGACAGTGGGGCAGAAGTTTTACTACATGAGAACTCAGGAGCGGGTGATGCATTGCCTATGTTGAGCTGTGGACAGGATACATGGAAAGACACCTGCGTGCTGGCTGCAAAGAGGCGCTTGCTTAGAACTGAACTCTACCACATAGGCTGTTCACTTCTTCTCCCCAAGTGCATTTATAGGGCATAGAAACCTTCTGTGTCCCATTTAGTCATGAAAATGACAACCCTGACACGTGCAAGTCCTGCTTTCCTCCAGGGCTGTTCTGGGGGTGTGAAGAGAAGAGCGCAAGTTCACCTTATCCTGTGTGCCCAGGCCTTGCTGCCCTAGGCAGGAGCTGATTTTGTAACACCAGTTGATTCTCTGTGTTTGCAGTGAATAAAAAGACCATTCTACCTCTGGAAAGAGCCACTGTGATTTCTGGGACTTGAAGTGTTGCAGCAAAAGCCCTCAGACTTTCTGCAGAGAAGGAAGGAGGTCACTCAGAGAATACTGTTCCAATGAGGTTCTTGTAGGACCTGAAGAGTCCAACCTCATTTCATACTCAGGCGTTTCCTCTATAAACCAAGCCCTGGGGAGCTCAGTTCATCATCCTATTCTTTTTTCCTCAGGGAACATGTCTACTGCCTTCAGGGAAAGGTTTCACGTAAGTGAAGATTTCAAGACCTGCTCTGTAGCCGTGAGAGGTGGGAATGCTCTAGGACAGGGCTGCTGGAGATCCTGCTCTTCTGGAGGCCAGGAGGAATCAGAAGCTTCAAGATCTCTTGAATCAGGTTCTACTTAAACAGTCATGTTCTAGCCAGGCCTGGACTCCTTGCTAGAAATGGAGCTCAGCTGCAGAAGTTGGGCTTAGTGCTGAAATTTCTCTGTGGTTTTGGTTTTGGCCCATCTCTCCTCCTCTGTCTTTGGCTGTTTTAAATGAGTCCTCTGATATGCCACCTCTCTTAGGTGATTGCTCTCATGTTCTACTGCAGGGGATCTAAATAGTGCTTAGTTTTTCTTGAGATGTAGCCCAAGCTACACTACTCTTAGCTTCCTTGTCACAGCAGATTGATGTATGCCTGGCCTGGGAGGACATGGGCCTCAGTTCCCCGGGTTGTCACCTCCTGCAGCTGCATTTCACCTAGCCTTTGGCTCCAAGTGAAGACTCTGGTGTTGAAGGACATGCAGGAAAAGGGGTAAAGCCAACTTGCTACTGTCTATGCAGGCAAAACCTCAAAGTGGTGGAGGTGGAGGCTCTATATGCAATGGTGGTGGAGGTGTCCACCCTCACTCTGAGAGAGCAAAACCCTGGGGCGGGAAGGACCTGCCTCTGTATGGGATGGGATTTTACCGTCTTTCCTACGGTGAATCACTTGCACTACAGCTGAATGTCTGTCTCTGTTCTTTGTTCTAATGTAAAAATTCTTTGTGAACTATATTTGGTCCTGATCATTAGGCTTCTAGTAGAAAGTGTGTGTTTGGAGTAATAAAAGGTGGCAGCTTTTGATATGACGTATCTGGCTCTGCCTCTTTTGAAGTCCTCAGGTGCATAAGACTCATCCGGGAACACATCAGCAGGTCTCAGATCTCCAAATCACTGTCCTCATCCTCCACCCTGTCTCATCCCAGCTGCCTGCAGCTCCCCTCTGCAAGTCAAGGCAACATCCACGTGGAAGCAAACCATTTTATTCTTGCAATTGTGCTGAAATGGTGGCTACAGCTGTTAACTGTGTTTCAACCAAGCCCTGTGGCTCTTGAGCTGCTCTGGTGGCCACTGTGCAGGGGCAGTACAAGGGCTCTTGTCTGCAGCCACATGTTTTATTGGTAGAACATCTTTGTTTCCAGCCTAGCACTAGACCTGGTCCTATACCTCAGGTTGATTTGCTGCCTGGAGAGCCCTGGATTCTTAGATAGTGTTGAATGTCTTGGGAAGAAAAGGTCACCTTCCAGATGGGAATGTCTATACCCAAAGTAAGTCACTCATTGCCACCTCCTCAATTCCCCTTGGAGGGAGCACGTTCTTTGTGGAGAACTCCAGCTTCCAGCTGTAGCAGCATGAAGATTTCTATCCCTTAATCCTGTGGGCTGGTGACCTGGCGCATTGGGCAGGCAGGAGCTCCTACCTCATGAACGACCTCCTGCCAGTCCGGAAGAAGGACTCGATCTGTTCCAGGGACCTGCCTTTGGTTTCTGGGACACAGCAGCCTGTAAATAGGAAGTTCCCAGCACAGATGATGGCGAAGAAGAGGAATGGCACTTCGAGGCCGAAGTTTTCCTGGGAAGCGGGACAGAAGGCGGACGTGAGCGGGAGCAGCGAGGCTTTGATGGGGCACACACAGACGTCCCCTTTGGGGACATACCCACCACGACAGGCAGGAAGAACCGGGTCAGCATGAAGGCGGTCAGCCAGCTCACGACAACACAGAGGCCTGAGGCCACCCCGCGGGCTTTCAGAGGGAGGATCTCCGACATCAGCAGCCAGGTGATGGGACCCCAGCCCATGGCGTAGCCTGGAGGGGAGCAGGGCTACGGTGAGGCTGGGGGGGCATTGAAACACATTGGGGGCTACAGAGGAGTCCTGTGCAGGCCTGCTCTGGTTCCCACATCGTTTAGCCAAGTTCTTGTCTGTCAACACCACTGTTCAGAAGGGCATCCAAGGTCCTTTGAGGAAAGAAACTCCCAGGGATGTCCATCTTCCTTCCAATCCTGAGCCCAGACCTCTTCACCCTGCCCTAGACCAGAAACATCTCACCCAGCCCTGTGAGGTGGGTGCCAGGCTTTCAATCTCTGCACCTACCCATTATGAAGAACATGGTAGCCAGGAGGGGGATGAGGGTGATGTAGTTCATCGGCTGAGCTTCGTGGCTGGCCAAGCTCACCAGGGTCTCGTTGGTGGTGGTACCATTAAGGGAAGATGATGTGAAGTGGACATAGAGCCCCATGGTCAGGTTTGAGGCCAGCATGATACCAGCTGTGGAGAGAGAAAACAGCATGGTGGGGAGCGATGGGAATATGATTCCCATCCCTGTGCTATGGCAAAACTCGTGGAAATGCTTCTGCCCAGGAGCTGAGCCACCATCAGAGCAGAGAGGCCACCATCAGAGTCCTGCGTGGATCAAGTCACCACTGCTGCCAGCCTGCACATTCCTTGGACGTCCTGAAAGGAGAGGTGCCCTCGCACATCAGTGCAGGAACACGTACCTGATACAAAGAGCAGAATCTTCCTCCCAGCTTTATCCATTGACACGGCAGCAATCGCGACTGAGAAGAGGCGAATGAGTCCGACAAGAGCTGCATCATATTCTGGTTTCTGCAACGGCAAAATCAGTGGGGAAGCTGAGATGGGAGATCCATGGGACCAGCAGGTTTCTACAGGCTTTCGATTAACTCTGGCCAGGGACTTTGTCAAAGCTAAACACTGAGCTCCTTCCTTCAACGGCCAGAGTCCAGACAAGAGCAAACTGCAGCTTAGAGGAGAGGAAAGTGAAGCTATGGGGCTGTCCCTGCTCCTGGGCATCATGCTGCCTTTCAGGCACTGGGTTCTTGCTCCTTGCTGCCAACCAGGTGCTGTAAAAGGGGCTGCAAAGTGGGAGTCTCACAGCTACAGCTGATTTGGAGCATCTGGCAGGAGTCGCTGGTGATGGGGCAGTCTGTGCTCAGTCCAAACCCCAGCGCTCACCAGAATCACAGAGGTTTTCTTGAATATTGACTGCAGGTACACGAGGACACAGGTTACTCCAGAGAGCTGCTGCAGGAACCTCATCAGCACGGAGATCAAGATGGGCTTGTAAATGAAAGGATGCTTGATCTCTGCACAGGAGATCCGCCTGCTCTAGAGGACACAGAGCCAGAGAGTTGAGCATTTTACAGTTTTACAGATTCTTACAGTTTTCATGTTACTTCTCCCTCATGCTGGAGGTGAACCCTTTCCTCTCCTCACCTGCTTCCTCATGCTGTCCTTAATCTGCTCGTACTCCTGGGCATAGTCCGTGTCCTTGCCCCGGAGCCAGCACAGCGATGCCAGGGCTTCGTCCTCCTTCCCCTGGGAGAGCAGGAACCGGGGCGAGTTGGGCATGAAGCAGAGCAGGGTGATCATGGCGAGCACCGGCACTTCCCCTGCCACAGCCAGCCAGCGCCAGTCCAGCACCAGACCTGCGGGAGCCGCATCGAGGTTACGGAATCACAGAATGGTTGAGGTTGGAAGGGACCTCTAGAGATCAGCTAGATCTAACCTCCCTGCTTGAGCAGGGACACCCAGAGCACGGGGCACCCGGTTGCATCCAGGTAGGTTTGGAAGACCTCCAGAGAAGGAGACTCCACAACCTCTCTAGGCAGCCTGTTCCAGGGCTCTGGCACCCTCACAGCGAAGAGTTCTTAGGAGTGGAGCGATCCTGTCTGGACCAACCTTGGAGGATGATTTCTTAGGCTCTCGCACCCACCTTGCTAAGATGGTTGCTAAACCCTTCCTCTTCCCCCAAACCAGCTTCCTCCCCTCGTCGTGGAGATACTTGCCCAGCGCATACAGGACGAGGGAGCCCAGCACAGCCATGATCTGTGGGCAGGCGCCCAGCAGGCCCCGCACGCCGGGGTGGGAGATCTCTGAGATGTAGACCTGCACGAGGACAGAGCCCGCTTACCAGAGCTGCAACCTCCGGCCACCACCGGCCGTGTCCATCAGCTCTGCCACCACGGAGAGACCTGATGGGGTCTCCAAGCCCTGTGGGTCACCCAGGGACCCCGGTCCTTCTGCTCCAAACCCAATGGGTCAACCCAAGCTGGTGGCACCAGGTGGTCTGGGCTTCCCTGCCGAAGCCCCTTCATCGTGCAACACTCGGAGCTCTCCAGCGGCACCTTCGGACTCTGCTTACGGGAAGGACATTGCTCAATTTGTGCCTTGCCCTCTGCCCACAACGTGAGGTCGATGCTCGAGGAGGAAACTGCTGAGAGGAGGAACGAGGCCGGGAACCAGGACCTGCCTTCCACATTTTGCAGAGGGGGAAGGAGCCCAGCACCACCACTGCCCTCTCGCCCTCTGCACGGCACAGGACGCCGTCCTGTCACCCATAGCACAGCCCCAGCCTCGAAGCTCTGCTGATGCCTCCAAAAGGGCTGGATGTTGAGGTGCCACCTCATCCCACCCCACGGAAAGCCCTGGGACGCTCGTTACCGGGATGGACGCGGAGGTGATGCCGCCGGCGAAGCCCGTGAGCACTCGCCCCAGCAGCAGCATCCAGACGCCCTGCGCGCTGCCCATCAGCGCGTAGCCCACGGCGGACGGCACGGCCGAGAACATGATGCTGAGCTTGCGGCCCAGGCGGTCGTTGAGGACCATGGTGCTGAGGCCTCCCGCGGCCGCCCCCAGCGTGAACACCGACTGCGGGAGACACGGGCACACGGATCGTGGCGTCGGGACCGTCCAGGACCCCTGTCCCCTTAATGGGGAAAACACCCTTTCTTACCCCAAACCAGGAGGCTTTGTGTGGGTCCAGCGCCAGGGCCGGCACGGGATACGCCTCGAGGACGGGGATCACGGGCGACGGGTAAACCAGGGCGAAGCCGAAGCTGAAGTTGCCCAGGACCGCGGCGAAGGCGGCCAGGTAGAGCCGCTTGTTGTGGAGGCTGCTGCGGAGGGAGCGAGCGGCTCGGGGACGCCCGCCCCGTCACACGCCCGCTCCGCTTTGCCGCCTTCCCCAGCCCTGCCCTTTCCAAGGCTCCCGCGGGGATTTTCCTGGGGAAGGGCCCTCTCCGAGCCGCGAGGGCGAGCGCTGGAGCCCGCTGAGCCCCGTTGCCGCTTTGCAGCCCGACAAGCCAGGGCTGACGAAAGCAGAAGTTGGAGCGGGTGGCATCCAGCTGCCTTCTCCTCCCACGCTCCAGTCCGGATGAGACCCCAGCTCCACGCATCTCCATACCCACCATGGGGGTTCAGAGGGGTGCAGAGCTGCCTCCCCAGCCCCAGCTTCCCCGTGGGACACTCGCGGCCGCCGGCACCAGCTCTTACTCCAGGTACTCCTTGTCCAGCCTCCTGGCAGCGCTCCGGGGCAGGGTCCGGTACGTGGAGCTGGGATTCCTCAGCAGGGGCTCCCGCGCGCTCGGCTCCATGGCGCTGCGGGGAGCGCTGCGCCCCGTCCCACTGCTTCCTCCCTGCGCGCGGAGGAAGAGGCAGCCGAAAGCGAAAGGGGAGAGGCAGCAGCGACGTTGCTTAATCTGAGAAATCTGTGCCTTGTGCCCCACCAATGTCTGCAGAGGAAGCTGGTGGGGCCGGAAAACTGGTGCCCAGAGCGCCTCGGGAAAACACGGTGCCTCTCGGGGCTCCCGGCAGCCCCCTGGGACCCACACTCCTGCAGTGATGCTCCTTGCAAAATCCTTCCTGCTCCCAGAAAAGTCGCCTTCCCAGTCGCTCCTCTCCCAGTTCACGCCAACCAGGTCAAACGCTCCTGCTTTTCCCTGGGTTGAGCTGCATCCACGTTGCCTCGGTTGGACTAGGTGATCTCTAGAGGTCCCTTCCAACCTTAACCATTCTGTGCTGCGCCAGTGAAGGGTTTTGGGCAGACCTGAGAAGAGGAAGTCGAGAAGACAGCGGAAAACCAGACCTGGAGAGTGAGAGAGGGCTGGGAAGAGGGATCAGGTGCAGGAGCCTGGCAGTGATCCTGTGCTAGGAGCAGCTGCCAGGATGCACAGGAAAGTGGGGGATCCACTAGCTTTATGCTCAGGTTTGGTTAATTTTAATTAATTTTCCCCTAACTTGCTGCTATGCTCCTCTGTTTCCCATCACTAACCTCAGTCTCCAGCACTTCCAGGACCGCCTGGCCCCTTCCTGCCCTGGGAAACGCAGGGATGAAGCCAGCGCCGCTGGGCAGGGCGGCGAAGCGGGACCCGCCGCGCTCTTCCTTCCCCGGCACCGCCTGGTTCCCCCTGCGCCGCCAGCCAGGGCCGCATTTAGCACCCCAGGCACGCGGGGGATTTCGGCTGACTCAGGCCCTCGGGGCTGGGATTTCTCTGACGGAAGAAGGTCACAGCACGAGGGGACTTTATGGGGACAGGCCAGCTCATGTGAGACCTTCCCAGGGCTGCGCTGGCACCAGGGGGATGTTGCGAGGGTCCGTGCCGAGGAAGCGGCGCCTTCAGCCGCAGCGGGATCCTCCACGGAAGGAGATCCCACCTCACCAGTGGCAGTGACAGGTCCCTCCATCCCCTTCCATCCCAGGTCTCCTGGTGGGAGGTTGAGGCCAGGTAAGTGCTGGGCAGCCGGGGGGCTTCATGCGGCCGGTCCCTGCTGCAGCTTTCCTTGGAGCAGCACTGCAAAACCCTCTTGCTGTCTTGCTGCCTCAGCCGGTATTTTGCTCCCTGGAAACCAGAGAGGAAGGTCCATGCTTTGGGAGCCTGGCACCGTGCACCCGTGGTAGGAAATCCCTTGGGATGCTGCTGCTGGAGCTGCTGGGACACAGGGGAAAGGGAGCAGCGCTGGCTCGTCTTCCAGCTGCCGCTTCCGTCTGGGGTAGGGAACGGGTTGGAGAGCAGCCCTCACTGCCGCAGCTGGATCCCGCAGCGCTCCGCGGCTTCGGCGGGGATTTGTCGACCGCTTGGAGCAGGAAATTACTTCGTGTCTTGGAAAAAACTCCAAGCACCTGTACGGATGGAAAGCACATGGGGATTGGGCGGCGCAGCGGCACTCGCGTTGGGCAGCCGCGACCGTCTCTGTGCTGGATCTTGGGAAGCAAAAGCAGCTCCTGCGCTTCTCCTATCTCTGCTGCACTCTGCAGGGCTCCAGGCCCTGCAGTGCCAAGTGGGAAGCAACAACAAGCGGCTCCGGGGCTGCTTTCGGGGGCAGTTTGGTTGTGCCGGGAGCTGCTGGCTGAAGGCTCCAGCTCCGCAGGCTCTTCCTCCTCCTCCGCCAGCTGGGCGGTAGGTCATGAGCATATGCAAAAACCCAGGCTGCATCAAAGCCGCTTGGCATCTTAACTGGCCCCATTCATAAATTAATTTCTCCTCGTCTTGCAAGGGAAGAATCAGTCACTCCTCGAGGCCGTCCATCTCTATCGCTCATCTGGCCACATCCTTCCATAAAATCCCCCCCTCGGAGCTGGTGGTGGCTGGGTCAAGATGCAAAAACACTTAGTGCCCACGTCGAGCTCCACACACACCGGGGCTGGGGGCAGATGGTGCCTGGTGGGATGTTTGCCCAGGTCACCGGGCAGGATTTTTCCCTCTGTATTTCCCTGCTGCCCATGGCAAGGCTGGGGCAAAGCTGGAGCCCAGCTAATGGGGAGCAAATGTGGCCCTGGGGCCCCATGCAAAATGATGGATTTCGGGGGGACAGTGGGTCCTAGTTGTGCGTGGTCTGGGGACACGAAGGGACAGCTACACCTGTCCCCTCTGGCCAGAGCTTCCAAGGGAGTGATGGCTTTGCAAAACGAGGCTGCCTTTGCAAAATGAGGCTTTGCAAAATGAGGCTTGCAAGACGGGGCTTTGCAAGACGGAGCTTTGCACGTCCTGCTCCAAGCTGTACATCAGCTGGTGTGACTGGTCACTGCTGCTCGCCCTTGGTCCTGGGCTGGCGTTTCCAAGCAGACTTGCAACTCTGCTGTTGGAGCCCTCAGCCCGCTCCCCCTTCCCGAAAAAACTCAGCACCTTTCCAGGCTGCCAGCTGTTTATTTTGCTGGACGCTGAACTTGCTGAAATGTCTCGCGGTGGCTGAAACGATGCAGAGTAGAAGAACAGAGCCTGGCAGGCTGCATGGTGAGTGGAAAATAGCTTTTTTGGGGCTTTCTGGAGTTTGAAGCTCTGATGATAGATGTGCATGCAAGGCATGGTAATAGCTCTGTAAGTACCAAAGCACAGAGCAAAAGAACAACGCTGTCTAATAGCCTGAGAAATGAACGTGGGACGGGATCCGCTCCGCTCCGACAGCGGCGAGGGCTGCGGTGGGGAATGATGAAGTGCTGTGGGGCTCGGGAGCTGAGTTTTATATTGGTTTAATGTATTGGAAAATAAGCGGTACAGCCAGCCTCTGAGAAGAACGTGTTTGCTATGCATGTGTTGCAAAAAAGAGCCTCTTGTCCCCAAATGGGGTGGGAGCAGGAGGCTGGGATCTGGAGGGGGGTCCCTGGCTTCTGTGAAACTGATGGAAAACTTGGGAAGCTGCCGGAGGTAGAAGCTGCTCTGGGCGGAGATGCTCCACGAGCAGGGAGCAGCAGATCCCAAGGGTGGGCGAAGCTGGGCTCCATGCAGCAGCTGTGCCTCCGGCTGGCACGTTTGCAGCAGAGGGCAGCACCGGCGCGGAGAATGCGCCGCCGCCGTCCTGCATCCCGCTCCGCATCCCACACCGCATCCCGCGCTGCGTCCCGCGCTGCATCCCGCACCGCATCCTCAACTGAACCGCGTGGGCAGCTTCATCGCAGCCTGGGCTGCACCGGCGGGGTTCTTCCCTGCCGGCACCCTTGACTGGTCTCTCCTCAGGGAAGCTGATTTTCCTTTGTGGGGAGATATTTTGTGGGGATATGTGTGGGCTGGATATTTTTCTTCCTTAGGACACAAGTCTCCCCACAAATTCCTAAGCACTCTGTTCCCTTCTCCTTCCTTAATATTTATAAATACACAAATATATATATATATAAAGCAAAACACGTAATTTCTCTCATTTAATATGAGCTACCTGCATCTCTTAGGCTGCTGACTTTACCAGTATCCCCGAGGTGAGAGCTTTGCTGCAGCGACAGGTTGGATCAGCGACACTCCAAGTGATACGGAATGGGTCATCCCATTCCCGACCCCTTCTGCCATCCTGGGGCCTGTGGTCCTCATGTGCATTTGTTGTTCGTTATATTTGGGGCCTGAGATCTTCGTCTAAGGGGGAAGATGGCAGAAAGCTGCCAAGCAGGAGGATAAAGGAGCCTTTTATAACCCCATTTTTTTTCCTAGGAACCTTTTAACCCATTTATCCTTCTGACGGAAAACCTCGTGGCTGAAATTTGCAGTGGAAGCAGAGACCTGAAAGAACATTTCTGCTCCAGCAGCGATCTGCTAACAGGATCATCTCGGTACAGGCACCTTGAGCAGCTCTGGAGCATCACCAGGCAGGTGGTAATTTATTTTATTGGCAAAGCATCCCTTCCTTATCCTGGAGTATCCTCCAATGCCCTGTCTTAGGTTGCTTTATGGCCCCAGGTCTCTGGAAGTGGCGCTAAATCCTGTCACCTCCTCTTGAACAAAAGTTCTCTTGAGCTGCAGAGCAATGAGCTGCAACTGAGGCTTCAGCAGAGGGTGTTGCTGCAAAAGCAACGGCATTTTACTGCATTATGTGTTATTATATGTGTTAAAAAAGCAATTGTCTCTATGGGGAGGGGAGGTTCAACCTGCTGCTTATGCCTTGTTCCCAGATCCCGGTGTCCTGTCCGTGTCTGGAGGAGCCGAGGACGTTAGAAACGCGAGGAGAGGGAGCACGAGGGTCGGGAATCGCCGTGTTTGGGTTTCTCAAACGTGCGCACGAAAACACTGTGTGGTTTTCTGACAAATTTGAACCAGCGCTGCTCAATTCCCTCCAACATTGCTACTGTTGATCTAGCAGACTGTAAAGCATTTATTGGAGTTGCTCGAGGCGAACTTAAGCATCTGTGGAATAACAAGTCCAGGAAGTAATTGCATCCACAAGGAAAATATTTTTATGTATAATTCAGCGACCCATTTTATAAACATTGTGGTTCCACCTTGGATTTTTTTTTCCCTTTTTCTTTCCCCCCTCTGCAGCCGCCTCTATCCCAGCCTCCGAGGTCGGCAGGACGCGGGATTGCGCCGGGTGGAGAACGGGCTCTGTTTGAGGATGAGACATTTGCAGCCCCCGAGGCACCAGCGCTGGCCGTGGTGACACGGGGATGGGGACCGCGCTCCAGGACATGCCGATCCTTCCCATCGGATTCCTCCTGGCCCCCGGGATGCTCTGAGACGGGGTTTTCCTGGCGGTTGACGGGAAGGGCAGGAAGCGCTGTTGCACTTGCTGGGATGCTGTTTTGGGAGGGTTTTGGGTGTCGCTGGGCAGTGGGAACGCTCTGCTCCTTTGCACTGTCCTTGGGGCAGGGGGAAATGGGCTTAAAAATAGAAAAACTGAGCAACTGCCACCTTTGAGCTTCTGATTC